TCTGGTAGCGGCAACTTGTTGACCTGCCTGGCTGGTGCTCGAGAGTTTGTTCTCTTCAGCATTCCTCGGCGGAAAACAGATGTCTTTCTCAAACAATGTAAACACTATCAATCTGGTTTACAGTGTCCCCCAGCCAGACGAGAGAGCCAAAATCCTAGCGTGGTTATCTCCGCTGGAACAGCGGATACGACATAGAGAGGTTCAGTCGTGCCGGGTTCCCAACGTGGGAGGCCAGGTCCTACGTACGGGGGTATTTCAAAGCTGGTCCGACGTTTCTCGCCAGGATGAATCCGATAATCCGGCCTTATTTTGCTACGGCGATCCAGGGGTCGGAAAGACCGTCATCACGTAAGAGAGGCCTTCTCTAAGAGGGAAAACTAGGAGCGTATTGCTAACAGGCCGCGGTGTTAGCTCCCTGGTGGTGGATACCTTGGGTGATCGACTGAGCGATCAAAACGTTATTGTCGCCTGCTTCTACTTCGACATTTCTGCCCGGGAGGAGCAGTCTCCAACAGACATGCTAGGTACCCTGCTTAAACAGGCAGTTAGTGGATTAGAAGAGATCCCAGGAGAGGTAGTCAGGGCATACCGGAATAATCAAAGGGTCGCAGGTGGCCGGGGGCCACAGCTTTCTGATATTTTGGGGATGCTCCGAACCGTCTCCACCTCACAGCGCATATTCATATGTGTTGACGCTCTGGACGAATGTGTGATAGAGCATCGACAAGTGGTTCTCGAATCCTTACGAGAAATCCTCGAGAGGTCGCCGGGCACCCGGTTATTCCTGACTGGAAGGTCGAATATCCGAAGCGAGATTCGTCATCTTTTTTCTGAAACGGTGACGTTCATCAACATAAAACCCAGCAAGAGTGATACCATCACATATATCAGTGCTAAACTACGGAGGGATACCAACAGAGGCGCGATGAATCCTGGCCTGGAGACAGATGTCCTGTCTGGGATTCCCGCAATGGTTTCGGAAATGTACGTAGGTGCAAAGGCATTGGGAACCTACCTTAGCGGTCCGCTAACAGATATGTCTAGATTGCTGGTGTCTCTGATGGTGGAGGCGATTTTAGAGGAGCAGAAGGTCTCAACTCGGCGAGATAGGCTAAAGGCAATGCCAGGTGGCCTGGGGGGTCTCCATGATAGAATGCTGGGGCGGGTAAAGGCACAAGGCCAGGTTAAGGGGGGGATTGGGATGACCGCTCTCATGTGGGTTTCGCATTCGGAGCGCCCACTGAGCGCTGACGAACTCTGTCACGCCCTAGGAGTCGAAATAGGAGCAGCGGATCTCGATCCCGACAACGTTCCTTCGGTAGAGACATTGTTAGACTGTTGTCAAGGACTTCTTGTGGTGGATAAGGGGGTCCCTACGGTCCGCTTGTCTTATTCAGCCCTCCAAGAGTATCTTTCAAGCTGTCCCGACCTTTTTGATACACCTCACTCGACAATCGCGGAAACCTGCTTGACCTACCTAAATTTTAAGCGGTTCAAGGGCCTCCCGACCAGTGACCTCTCTGACCCCGTACCGGCATCCTTCCTCGCATACTCTTCTATACACTGGGGAACCCACGCGAAAAAGGAACTCTCGGGACGCGCTAAATCGCTTGCGCTAAGTCTGCTTGGCGATTATGATGACCACATATCCACTAAATTGCTCTTGAAACAAGTATTGGGTCCGGGTCATTTCAGTGATATCGAGGGCTTCTCCTCGTTCACTGGACTGCATTGTGCATCCTTCTTTGGAATTGTTGATATTGTGGCTGCGTTGATGGAGAGCAACGGTTGCGATATCGAAACAATAGATTGTGTGGGTAAAACACCGCTCCAATGGGCCACTCAGTGTGGACATGAGGGGGTAGTAAGGCTTCTACAGGAACGGAGAAATGTCGGGCCCAGCCATACGCCACCATCCCACGCCACCTGCCTCAAGCGCAAAAGAGTGGATGAGCTAATACCGCTGCCAGAATCCGGTGTTCCAAAATGTCCACGGACAACGTAGGTCCGAAGAGACATAAGCTCCTTTGCCGTCCTCGAACGTGGATGCTTGCTGTCGTCGCAACGTCCCTCTGGCTATCTCCACTGATACGGTCACCCCCATTCTCCCCCTCGTTTGTGCCATTTCCCACCTCGAGAGTAGTAGCTCTTCCTGCAGACATCGGTGCCCCTCCCTCCAGACTATTCCACAAGCCTGCCCTTAGACGTCCTCCTTTGCTCTGATCGGCCGGGGGAAGCTCTATACCGATTCCTGGACCGCGGGGGGAAAGAAAATGAGTAGGGAAATAATACCGGGTACGCAAGCAAACATGTGTTGACTTCCGCTAGCTAACTGGACAGCAGGCGGGATACATATCCGGACGGACTCCTTCGAATACTTCCTCAGCATCCTACCGGGCTTCATTCCCACCAGAGACATCGCACAACAGGGGGAAAACATCAGCCATACGATCATGTTCTCGGCCCTCCCACACCCCTCATCATCATCCCAGATGAGACACTACTCTCCCCTGCAAACATATCCGACATGCCCCGACCCCCTGATGGCCTTGATGACCCATCTGCTTCCGCCCGGAATGTCCAGTCACTCCACAGGATTATAGGTGGTGCTTGTTTTGTGTTAAGGAGAGGTATTGCCGTGGGGTAGCAGATAACGCAGCGGTACCGTGGGAGGGACAGCTCTGGATATCGGCGTTTTGAGAGAAAGGTATGGTCAGAAACCCTGTTATCTTGTTCCTCCCCACTCTCTTGTCCCTCAACTAACTTACGACAAAGACAGGATTATATGTGGAGCAGAGTCAGGGCAATCCGATCCTTCTATGGGCCACCACACGTGTCTCTATTCCTCTACGCATAACCTTATTACTCTGCACACTCCCGTCATGAGAAAGAAAGGACATGTCGGGAGAACCTTCCCTGCAAATCACTGAATCCCCGCGACAATTAACAACACTCCCGAATGATCCATCACACTCCCGTCACTTCAGAATCATCCGTAACGTCCTATCGCCCTTCTACATCCTCTACGAGCTTGAATCCCCCTAGAAATCTGTGAGCGTAGTCGAGTCAGTGCTTATTCCCGGATTTCGCAGGGGGATAGGTCGAGTGCTATTGTATTGAGGAGATTCTGTTCTTTTAGCTTCGACTTTCATCCTTTGTATTTAACATTGTGGTTCGACTCTAGTTTTCCGCCCCCCCCCCCCCCTTCTCGCATGCTTTTCATGTTTCTCCGCCCCCCCTCTTTTTTTCCTCCCTAGAGTGATTGATATAGACTCGTGTCAGAAAAGAGGATAGACGCTATATGAGGGTGGCCGCACAGTTAATTGTAATCGGATTCCCGGGCTTGGTATCCCCATTCCGGGTTACCATGATGAAGGGTCGAGGTTTCGGGGTCATAATGCACATGTCTCTACCCGGGGCCTAAGATATGGGACAGAGGCACGAATACCAGAGAGGTATGTTTACAGATCTACTGTACCGCAAAAATTCGAATGGAAGACAAATGTCTCGAGACGTTATAATTACCTCTCCTAGAAAGGCGCCGCGCATATGCCCTTTATTTTGTCTCAGGTAAGGCATGAGTTTGTGGTGTCCTCTCCCTCAGCCGAGGGAGGGCGCTCCGACGTCCAAGCACATCCCTCTTTGTTCAAGCTTCACGGTGCGTCGTCGGAGGCACCAAGGCTTCTTTAACAATTGTGTGCTGTACGTACATCATACTACTGTCTGCCGTGTCTCGAGTGTCATTGATTGCAGATTCTAGCTTAGATGCCCTTAATCCACAGCAGAGGGCACTGTACTCGAGGGCTTGACGCGCAGGTCAGGTCTAATTCCCCAATGTGGTTTTTACTGGTCATGAGACCACATACAGTACGTTCCGTTCCTGGTGCGCACATCTGGTTTACATGTGCGTACACTCAAAAATAGAGTAGGATACCGTAACAACCCGTCAAATCCGCTAAGTTACTTAGCATATCCTGAAGGCCTCCAGAGACACACCGTCCCGAGAATGGATAGTGTATTCCAGACGCCATACGCCTCGGACGATCTGAACCTGCTAGATCTCATCAACTGGCATTCGCTTCTTCGTTCACCTATCATACCCCGCTAGGCTTGTTGAAGTTCAGTAAGGTGATCTCCTCCCTTGCCTAACCCAATAACAGACATAAATAACCCCTGCGATGACCCCCAAACCGGTGAAAAGCTAAGGAAGGCGAATTCCGGACCTCCATCGGCACTACAGCCATTTCGAATTCTACCTTTTTTGGTATGCTGCAGGGAGCGAGGAAGGGGGGGGCGTTGTGCCAACTACTATGGCAAGAACTGTCCCGGGTTTTCGGGACAATGGTATCATACACCAGATTTCCCCCGAATAACTCCCTCCCCTACTCACCCGGCGTTAAAATCTAGTAACCCCCCCGCAAAACTCCCTCCCGACCTGTATATCCCCCGACTAACCCACATCGCCATACAGAATCGTAAAAAATCACCTCAAACTTTAGTTTCTGCCGAGTGACATTCCATGACCGCACGCCTGAAGTTATCCCCAGGAGGTAAGAACAAGCTAACATACTAGAAAAGTACCAGTTGAGGGGTTTATCACCCTTTCTTCTTCTTCTTTATTCATGATACGATGGGAAAACCCTCGCGTTGCGGAGGATCGGGGGATTGCCCTTTGCGCCTGCGGGTGATGGGTTCGCGTATTGTGTGCTCCTGTTGTAGAAAGGTATACCGATCCTTTGGGTGGCAGCGGTGGGCATGGGGGTCTTGATGTTTGGTGAGTGTTGTTGGGAATTTTTTTTCTTATAGTCTTTCCCTCGTTTAAAAAAAAGGGGGGGGGGCTCGAGTGGTAGAGGTGAGTGAGTGAGCCCGTGTGAAGACGGAACGGAGTATTTTTTTGGGACTTTTTCTTTTGAATTTCTACTAATCGGGCAAAGTGTATCTACACCACCAAATATACAACCGACTAGCTACATGGCTGATGGACAAAATAATCTGGACATGAACATATCCTTACTAGGATCAGGATCATCGCAAGATATAGCTCTAGCCATCACCCTCCACGCCGAGCATGTCTTCTCCACTCTTCAAAGCGGCATCAATGAGAGCAATAGCATCCACACCAACAATCCATCTCCCCGGTAGAACCCTCCCAGCACCCCTCCCTCTCCCACTCAGCATCTCGAATACCAACTCGGCTCCTTTCTTCGAGTCGTCGGACTGTTCCCAACTCATTCCCTTCAGACCCCCGCGGGCAGCTCGCATCAAATCCTCGCATTCATTAATGGCCCCCCTAACCCCGAGCGCGTCCCCATCCCCCAAAACCCCCGTGCGAAAGCAACCCAACTCGATGCAGGTGACAGTGATGCCGAAGTTCGTCACCTCCTGCTGAAGACTAAGGCCGAAGGCGGCGAGCGCGTGCCTGCCAGCGCTATAGGCGCCGAGACAGGCGCTGCCGCCCCAGCCTGCGATTGAACCGATGTTGGCGATAACGCCACTGCGTTGGGAACGCATGTAGGGGAGGACGGCCTGAGCGATGGTAATGTTGCTGAAGACGTTTATCGTAAAGTGTTCTTGAAGTTCAGCTGGTGTGTATGATTCCACGGCGCCGATGGTGGTGACCCCTGCGCTGTTCACGAGGTAGTCGATCGGGCCGTGGTCAGTGATGGCGCTGGTTATGGTGGCTTGGATGATAGCAGGGGGGAATGTCAGATCGAGGGATAGGGGGATTGCCCCGAGCTTGGTGAGGTGCGCAAGGACTGAGGGGTTTCGGGCTGTACAGATGACCTTATCGCCGGAGGCCAGGACCTCGAGAGCAAGGGCTGAACCAAAACCTCTAGAGCACCCCGTAATAAGCCAAAGCTTGGGAGTGGCGGAAGAAGCGGTAGCGGTAGAAGTAGACATTGTTTAATTGGTTGTTTAGAAAACGGGAGGAGTGAAGTAGAAGTAAGAGAAATAGGTAGCAAAAAATCGTTAAAGCTTGTCGGTCCCCCCAAGAGATAGTTAACCCCCTCTTATATACCCCCCGCGCCCTCCCATTCAACACTAAACCGCACGGGCTCTCCACGCAAGCCCATTCCCAATCGAGCGAAAAGCTGCACCCCCAAACATTGACACCGGCCTTAAATCTCGTAACTTCACGACAACGGCAAGCTAGCACGCGAAGTGCCTTGTGCCTTACCAATGAGCTCTACACGGCTCAAAGCAATTCCAGAGTGCGGGGAGATCAACCGACGGCGACGGTATGGCACAATTTCATCGCAAGAAAATTTATGTGAACCATGGTTTTCTTCATACCGGCACAGTACCCACCCACTCAGAGACGGCAAGAACCTTTTACAAAATTTTTCTCATCGAGACTTTCCAATATTGGAATCTATCATGCAAATAGCTGTTTTTTTGTTTTTTTTTCTTTGGACGCGGTTCGCCTGGGGACTGTAATAATAATATTATAGTATCGTGCTGTGGTATGGAGGCCTGTACAGTATTATAGCACGTTTTATCATACCCATGACACATATTCCCTCCGTCGAGTGCTAGCACCTCTAATGATAGAAGGTCTAGCAGGTAGCCTGACAAGTGGTCTCGTGGACTAATGGGGCCTAGCGTGACTGGGTTCCCCACCCCGGGGTATCATACTCTATGATACGATATGGTGTGTTTATAGATTGGTTGTTCCCAGAATACAGAGTTTAACAATGCTTTGAAAAAATCTCTTCCAAAGCACAATTTCTAACCGGAATTTCTTTTTTTAATTTCTTTAATTCTTCTTTCCCCGTACCGATAACTTAACTTATGATAACTCACTCTACTAGAAGGGGGGTTGTCAGGATAGCGAGAATTATTATTCCACATTCCCCCCCCCCCCCCCCAATTGGCTAAAACGAGGAATGGAAAACAAAGTAACCCAAAATGCGCTAATCCAGAAAGGGAGTATAATATTTATGCTCGTCTCGCGAGCTCTCTTTTTTTTTCTATAAATACTCCCTCTCCGCCCAGTGCGCCGACCAAAGTATCACGCTCGCATAAGGTAGACTAGACTATCTAATTTCTTACTCATGGAAGCGAACAAGGGGAAGCCGAAGATCTCATGTGAGATTGTGAAAAAATAAAGAATCATGGCAGTTTCAATTTACGCTTTCGTTGTTCTGGTGCAGTATCACTCGTTGCGACGCACTAACGACTAGGAGTGGGTGAATAGAAAGTAAGGGGGTTCCACTCCGCCACCGCGGGGGGGGGGGGAAGGGGGGTCCTCGATAACGCGGCTATTTTTCTGAATAGTGTGTAAAGTCTTCCGATTATCAGGAGTCGGGATGAATATGAAATATACGAGTACTTCGGTACATGCTCTGTGGGAGAGGGGGGAGGGGGGGGGGGCTCCACTCTGCATTGCGCCGTTGGCCTTTAATCCTTTAGAACAGTAGGTGCTGCGTATTGATCAGTGCACCGGCGCTGCCGCTACGGCACCATCCACCGTTAGAGTTCCTAGCGTAAGGCCCGCAATTTGGAATCTCAACAAGTAGGGTAAACGCGTGCACGCTTGAATGAATCGTTGCCTGTTTCGTTAGTATTCGCGATTTTCCAGTTCGGCCAGGCACAACCGGCCGACCCAAGTTCTTTTTTTTTATTTCATTTTACCTCCAGGAGCTTCCCCCTAGCAAGACCGGGGGCTACAGTCCGGCTTCTGGAGATCATCTGACCCTGTCGCATATATTCGTATACCCCCGAGTGATCAGGCGTGATTGATCTGATCCCGGTGATTTTTCAGGGATCGAACGGAGCAGGAGTGTATGAACCCATAGCATCTATGCCTACACGACCACACCCGCGGGATAAGCCATCTTTACCACTATCGTTCATGGCCGTGAGGGATAAAAGAGCACCGAGCACAGAAGAGTGCACACTTATATCCTCTCCAAAATAGGTGTGTAAACCACCCCGGTCCAGAAAAGAAGCCAGGACAGTTCGCGACACGGAGCCACCATAATGGAGAAGCAGAGCACTCGGAAGAAGACGAAATGAAGGGATCCAACGGAAAACGCCCCAGGCACTCAAAAGTCAATAACGGCACAAAATCAATATATCCAATACACGAGCGATCAATCCACCCACACTTTAGCAACACCCGAGGGGATATTATACGAAATTTCCCCCCCCCCAGCCGAACGCGCCAGAACAACTTTCGGCTCCCAAATACTTGTAAACCACCGGCAAGATAACATGCACGGACGTTTTCAGATATTTATAGACACCCGTAGGCGTCTCTTCGCATGCCCGATAGCCAACGGATGCGCTGAATACTCGCTGGTTAGGTGGCCAATGCGGAAGGCCCGCTGGCGCCACGGGGTATTGGCGAAGCCTGCAGGCCCCGGCAAATTTAGGCCCACAATGCCCAGGCCCGGCAGGTCTCAAACAGGCGGCCCGCAGGCCTGCCCCACCCCTCCGGCCGGCCGTCCGCTCGCCAGCACGGCCCTTTTCCCCTTCTTCGGGTACCCTTTATTACTCCATATTTTCCAGCTTTTCGGATAGGGTCAAATCCTGACCGTCTCTTGCCTGCTTTATTTATCAATCCATCCTTCCTTCCAACCCGTATGACCTACGGTTCTCGCTTTCCTCGTTTTTGCCGGTTCATTCATGTATCCCCATCGCATTTCTTTCCCCCTTTCTTTCCGGCTTTGTCTTCCGGTTTTTTGATTTCACAGCACTGTTGGAAAAAAATTGGAGGAGGGGGGAAGGAGTCCCAGAATTGTTGCTAGATTGGTTTGTTTTGTGGGTTATCGTACTCTAATGTGATTGCTTCGCCGTCACCTTGCCCACCAGGCGATCAATGCCATCCAGGGTGTTGCGTTCGGCAGCCATGTCCTACACCGCTAGTTTACAGACAAACCTCACGAGAACTTTGTGAAATGCGGTGAGTAGAATCGCCAAGACAAAACAGGCGAGTGAGTCACCATGATGCGGCAACGCAACACGCTCATTTGGCCACGCCAGATGGCAACCCAGAATTACCGAGGCTGCCGGCGGCAACACCAGCCGAATCGCAACACGAGTTCCTAGAAAGCGAACTCTGATCTCCTCGACCTTCCGTCCACCACCATTCATCAACTCTCGCTCCGCTACCACAATATCAACTCAATCATCACCATAATGCCGACCAAAACCCCCACCCCCACCACAACCGGCGTCCCCGCAGATCTAAAGACAATACACGAATCCTCCCCGAACCAATCGAAGCAACTGCCACCCCCCGAAGCCCGCACGCGTGAAGAGCTCCGCGAGCAAGCCGCCAAATTCCTCGAAGCTAGTAGCACCAAGAATGCGCCGTGGGAGCAGAAGAAGGAGTTCTTGCTAGAGAAGGGGCTGACGGGGGATGAAATTGAGGCTCTAGTTGAGGAGATGGAGACGGTGCAGAAGAGGAATATGGAGCAGGCGACCGCCACGAAGGAGGAGGTTAAGGCGGTTTTGAAGAAGGCGAAGGGAAAGAAGAAGAAGGTTTGGACCGCTTTCCCTTCCTTCGGAAGTAATCTCAGACGGTGTGGTGCTAACGGTGGTGTTGGTAGCCCGAGGAGCGACCCTCCACAGCTGCAACAAAGGCCGGCACCGACGATAAAACAAAACCCTCCCCAAAAGACTCCGACCGGGGGGGTAGGAGGGCCGCCGCCGCTGCGGCTGCTATCTCCCCCCCACTAATAACCTACCCGGAATTCCTAACCCCAACACCACCCCCACCCCCACAACCACTAGTCAGCGCCTCCAACATCCTCAAATCCGCATATTTCGCCTCGGCCGTTGGCAGCACAATCTATGGCGCGCACAAATTCATCTTCACACCCATGTACTCCACGCTCACAGACGCACGGCTAGACCTCTCCTCAACGGCACTGAAGAACCTCACGGAGCTAAACACCCGGCTACGCGATCTCGTCCCGTCAAGACGAATCCAGCACCCCACTGCCAATAGCAACGAAAAAGCCTACTACCCCTCCTCCTCCTCCGGCGACGAAGACGATAGCAGCAGCACCTCAGACCCCAGCGAACTATTCCACGTCGACGCCACGACGCAAACCAGCCCATTACTGGACTACCACCCCAACACCTCCGACGAAGCCGAGGACCTAACCCCGGACGGGAAACTGGAGCACTTATCAACGCAACTCCACGCCCTCGTCGAGAGCCACTCGGACGGCATGGACAATGAGCTCACGTTCGCGCTTGAGGACCTCAGGAGCTATCTCGAGAGCCTCACATACGACTGGAGCGGTTCCAGCATCTTCACCTCGCCCTACGAGTACGCTGGGGCGAAGGGCAAGGATGGTAAGGATGATGCTGTGGCGAAGGTCAAGGCGGAGATCAGGAGCGTCAAGGGAGTTTTGTTGAATACGTTTGTCTTTCCCTCCTCCCCACTCTCTGGCTTTCCTCCTCTCCCTCTTTTTGTTCGTCTCTTTGGGCGCTGACCCCCGTTTCGTCTGGACTTGCAGGAAGAATTTCCCGGCATCGAGGTAACGGGCCGAGGTGCACGGTGGCGGCGTGAGCGTCAGGTTGTGTTGATTGTGGACGAGCGGATGGGATATCAAGTTTACCAAATCGACGCTAATAATTATATCCTTTTTTTTTTTTCCTCACACCGTGGTGTAATAGAGTTCTCTCCCTTTCCTTTTCTTCATACCCCTCCCTTAGTCCATAACCCAGCAATTGAATAATCTATTCTACTCACGGCAACCACAATTACGATCGAGTGATCCCCAATGACCCACATCGCAGGCGCCAGGGCAATACGAGCATTGTAGAGTACAGTACTGTACTGTACTAGTACTGTACAGCACAAACCAACAGATATTAGATAGAGATACCATAAATTAACGTATTACGCCCACAACTACAGAAATGCCCTGATAAAAAAATAAAATATAAAAAAAGCAATGCTATCCATCCAATCAATCCGTCCCTATAATACAAATCCATCCGTACCGGAACCCATCTTTTTTAGAGAGAAGGAAAAAAACAAAAAAAAACAGTTTAAGAGTAAGAGTAATATAATAGAGGTAATAAAAAAAAAAAAAGGGATACAGAATCAGAATCAAACCAATCACGATAAACCTGTCTGGAAAAAAAAAATGAGACAGAAAAATTGCGACCAACACCGCCACCACCCCTTCCGCCAATTCATCCCCCCAATGGCTCACCCCAACAATTCCCACAGCCGCGCACTCACTCAAAGGCCTCTAGAAAGATCGATATACCGTGGGGAAGCTAGAAGAAAAGAAAGAAAACATCGTGAGTTCGTCGCCTTCATCTCTTTCTTCTCTCTCTTTTCTTTCATCTCAATCCCCCCAACCCCGCCAGGGTTCGCACAGGGGGAAGCGACCATAGCCAACTAACTGGAGACGGGAGTTCCTGTATGTTTGGTTTGTCTTTAGGGCAGGTGGAAAAAGGGCGGACAAGACATGACCCTTCGTTTCTCTTTCGTGCGGGGATGGGGGGATGCTCCGTAACAGAATGTATCGAGTAAAATTGGGGATGACTAACCGCTCTCGTAGTGTTCTGCAACGTATTGTTCAGGATTCTTTCCCAGGAAGCGGATGAAGTCTTCAATATGCTCACGGAGCTTAGAAATGGATTGGGGGTCCATATTTGTGTGAGCCAGAAGTTCGGGCATGGAAACTGTAAATACCCCGATTAGCCAGCTTCTCCCGACAAACAGGCAAAGGAAGGAGGGCAAGTACCAAAGAGCCTCAACAGATGCTCCGCACCATAGAGCTCACTAGCCTCCTTTCCGGGATGCTCTTTGCGAATCTCCATATACTGCTGTCTCTCGAATCTGTACAGCAAGATAGTTCCGAGGCTCTTATCAAAGTAAAGCTTCAACCCGGCAATGACCTCGTCAAAGATATCCGTATCCGCCGATCCTTCACGCTTCTTGGGCACGGATTCTCTATATTTTTGCAAAATCTGGGAAACGGACGGATTACGGGGGAGAGGAACGAGCTGCTGGTTCTTGGTAACGTTCTCCCAGTCGTCGACGAGTAATGCCTTGAGGTTATCCGGAATGGTAATTTTGATGTCATGTCTCTTCATAAAGTCCTCTTCCTTCAGACCCGAGCGTTAGCAAACTTCCTCCTCATCGCCAACCAAAGTCCGTGCAATCCCCAAAAAAAGACAAACAGAAATAAAACCCCCCCAAGGATAGCCTGGACAAGGACAAACCTTCTCAATTTCAAGCTCCCTTCCACGCTTCTGTCCCCTGGGTGGGAGGGTACCGGAAGCCCCCGGGAGATCTTCAGACCCAGCTTTCGACGACATCTTCATGCCCGCCTTTGCGTTCGGGGCAGGGTTTGTTCTCTTGGAGGAAGGCTTAGTATTATCGTTCAGCTCTTTCTGAAGACGCAAGTTCTCCTCATTCATCTTCCTCAGACGATCTGCGGGAACGAATTCGTCCCAACTGTTCATTTCCTCCATGGTCAGTGTTGATTAAGCTTAGAGGGGGGAAGGGGGGGGGGGGTAGTAAGCGGAAAGAAACATTGGACACGGGACGTACATAACATGGTGGGGGAAACAAGGAACTGAGGGGATAGGGTATTGGAGATGGAACGAGGTGCATGGGAATGCCGCACCTCAAAAATGTTCCCATTGTGCAGACCACGCAGATCCTAAATATGAAGAGAGAGGGGAAAAAAATAAAATATAAAATAAAGTAAAAAAAAGGGAAAGGATACAAAAGCCGTGAAAAGGCAGGAGAGGGGATGACAAACGTGTTTTTCCACCCCTTGTAATGCACCTTGTACTCGGGCAATTCCTTCTTATCTTCAGATTTCTTAACCTCCAAAACCTTCGCTTCATAGAGCATTGGCCCGTGAAAGCACAGTACCCTCTCCTGGACTTCGTAAGTAAGCACCTTTTGAGAGGCAGCCGGGGGCATAGTGGGTGGGCTGATGAGTGGGTCGATTTAAGAAGGGGAAAACGTCCAACCTATATAGAGAGAAAGAGGCAAGGTGAGGTAGGGTTAAGAGGGTAGGAAGGGGAAAGAGGGTTTAGGAAGAAAAAGAAAGAAAAAAAATGTAACAAAAAGGGAATAAAGGGAAATGAGAAAACGAAAGGGAAAGGAAAAGAAAAGAAAAGAAAAGAAAAAAGCGGGTAGAAAGGAGAGGAAAGTGTTAGGGTACTGTGCTCGGGGGGGAGGGGAGAGGAGGGGAGGTACAATAGAGGGAAAAAGTAAGAGGCGGGGAAGGTGGAGCGGAAAGGAATGGGTAAGTGGAAGGTAACGGGAGTGTAGATAGATGGGTTACAGTGTCTAGCTAGTGTTGTGTGTAGGGATGGGGCAGGTGGGGGGGGGGGGGGGGTGGGCGGTGTGAGATAGACAGATATTTGCTAGGGTTCGGGGAGAGAGAGAAAAAAGGTCTCGAGGAATTCCAAAAGGTTAGGGAAAAGCCAGAACACGGAGGACGCGTTCAAAAGGAACGGTCAAACCCCCAATAAATCACGGAAAATGTCCCACTCAGGTGGACATTTACCCGGCCATCACCATCGATCACTCGTTGACCTTAATGGGTTGGTTGCCTGCTGGTAGCTCAGGGACCAAAGAAGCAAAATAGAAAAAAAAAAAAAAAAAAAACAAGCTTGTGCGCACTCGATTGACCGATCCTCAGGAAGGCACCAAAACGGAACCAGAAGGAAAGAGAGATCAATCGATCCACCAACCAATCCATGGCGTCCACAACAAAAGACCTCGAAACTCAAATCCTCTCCTCTTTCCTCCTGTCCAGAGCTTCGCTCCAGGACATAATCTCCCTCCGACAGTTCACCGAGTTGTTCCCCAAGGACCAACGGTCGAACCCCCAGATCAAGCTCCTCTACCGCGAGCTCCAGCTTCTCCGGAACAAAACGTGCGAGCGCGTCAAGAAGAGCATCAGGCACGAGGTTGCGCTGGGGGTCAAGCAGCGCAGCGAGCTCGAGAAGAAACGGAGGGCGTTGAGACGCGTGGATGAGGAGACCATGACTGCTATTGAGGTGGGTTCCTCTCTTTCCGTTTCGCCCTCATCCCACGGGGCGAGGGCGCCCTGTTTCCTTACTGCGGTGGAGGGAGCTTCCATCTAACCACAACGGCGCCATAGTTATTCGGTGCAGCGCCCATGGAACCGAAACTCCCGCTCAAGGAATTGCTGACGCAGATGAATTCTGCTGTGGAGGATTTGGATGCCGAGTTTAATGCTCTTGATGACGAGTGTGATACGATGCTCGAGGAGCTCAAGTCCACTATTGGGGACCTGAGCGACCTTCGCTACGGGAGATTTGCCGCTTCCGACACGGATGCAAGGATTGTACGCGATCTGGAGAACTTGCACGATACTTGCGAAAGGGTCTTGAATCCTCCTCCATAGCAACCTTATCGAGAAAACAGGAATGTTGACACCCATTTCCGTAACGCGCTTCCACCAAGTGAATACTGTACCCTTGTGTCCCGTAATACAAAAAAAAAAAAAAAAAAGAACCACGTAACACCGCTTTTCCGTCACGAGCGTACATTAAATAGCAATACCATCCCTCTCTCTACGAAACCCATCATACATCTAGAATGAGAACAACCCTTCGCTCAATCCCCCACCTCCCCGATACACCATCGTAATGAAGAAAAGTATCTATGACGCTTCTTGAGGAGCTGGCTGTGTGCCAGCACGAGTCGGCTCGGTGGTACGCCTCGAGACCCGTGTCCTGTTCCAATAGTCAGCAAGCGAAAGAAAACGATATATGAAAAAAATTCTGAAAGCGAAATCGTACATAATAGACCTTCCGACGAAACCGATAAGAATCATAGGGACCCATTGTCTGAGCGCAAGAATCAGTATCTCAATTGCCAAATAAATCACCCAAGCCCAAACTTACGGCATAGCTTCGTAGTATGTCAAAGCCATACCGGCATAGGGCCTGACATCCCTCAAAGTGCCGTTGATGGGGTTGAAAACCCCAGTCCAAGCTTCTACGTTCTTCCACTCCTTGCTGGAGTGGAACTGCGTGTAATGGTTGACCTGATCCTTAACCTCGATAGTGGTCATGTTCCACGGAAGCTCGCGGATCTCAACAGACTTGTCCGGGTACGCAACGAGGTGGTAAAACTGTGGGATCTTGATCTGCGATGTGATGTAAAAATCCCTACAGAGGACCTTGGAAGCTTCGGTCGCGCAATCTACTTTTCCAAAGTTCACATCCAGATCCCTCGCGAATGTATAGACGGTATCCTTGAGACGAGAAGAGAAAAGACATCTCGATTAGCATCGCGAAAGTGCCAAGAGGGGGAGGGGTAAACAGAAGAGAAGGAAAAAAGAAAAGAAAAATACTCACATTAAAAATGCCATCCCAATACGTGGCATTCTTAGTCCCATTCACGACTGAAGACGTGAAGTAATAATACCACTCGGTCGGCGTGGCGGTAGAGGCTTCAGTCTCAGTGGCAGCGGCATCTTCCCCCAGCTCCTCCGCCGCCACAGCAGCGCTCGGCTGCACAAGACTCAACCAGTTCTCCGAAGTGACGCTCATCACTCGCCGCGCGATGAGTATCTCGCGATCTTCCACGTGGCCCTCTGGTTCCATCTTTTTCATAGGGACTTGTTTCTCCCCGTTGTTCAGTATCTTATTGAGGTAGTCTGTCCATTGGGCCGATACACATGTTGATGCACCGGCTAGTAATAACAGGGTTGTTTGGAGCTTCATTTTAATCGTGGGAGATGAGGGTAGGAGGAAGATGGGTAAGCAGGGTAAGGTACAGTAAGTTTTGGCAAGGGTGATTCAGCGGGGAGACACGGTTGAAGTGATGAGAGGAAGAAGAAGGGAGGAAGGAGAGAAGGTTGTTGCAGGGAAAGGATGTGGTAAACGAGGGGAGAGGGGGAGGAGGAAACGCGATGAAGGGAGCGATGTGAATAGTAATTATGGTACCAGCGGTACTGTATATACGAGTGCCCAGGGAACAAATGGTATTATGGAAAAGCGTTAACAATAGGGGGTTTCCCTTCGTTTGTGGAGTCCAGGAGGGGGGGGGTTCACGTCGCTTACCGGTAGGCACCTCTCGAGTGAGGCTCTCTCTAATCTCCGAAACAGGGGATGTGATTCGAGCGATAACCGCTTTTGCCTTCAGTGAGAAAAAGTTATCGTAGCTCATGGCCGCACACCCACCGTACTAGTACTCGAGTACCGGAAGTACCGGTGCTCGTACAGCATCGTAACTCAGGAGTTGAGTTAAGCTTCCCACTCACATAACCTCATGCGGTGCTACCGGTGTTCTACCGTACCACAGTAGCGTTCGCTCCTGTGTGGGGTGGGACCCAGGCGCGAGCACCCTACCGGTATTCGTGATGTCGGTATGGTACGGTATGATACCAGTGATAGAGTACTCTACCGCAGACCCCCTCAATGGTATTTACAATTCTTTTTTTTTTTTTTAAAAAAAAAAAAAAAAAAAGAAGGGAAAAAATATATTCTACTCTCCACTATCGTAGCGCAATACCACACAGATAGACCATCGTAAGTTAGTTTAAGCGCGAGCCTAAAGACGTTCTTCACTTTATTATCGTACCAACGATAATCGCAACTCCAGACGACCCACCTCGTAAACGTACCGGTATATAATCGGCCAAGAGACACGAGATGCAAGGACGAACCCCATGTTATGATACAAAAGAGGGGAAGAAAGGAAAAACAAGACCCCATATGAAACATCGCATTATAAAAATCTCGAAGACAGTTTGGCGAGACTCTCCGCAGAAAGTTTTCTGGGTGGATCGGTGGAGGCCCCCGACGACATTGCCCTCTCGAGTCTCCCTCGATACTTTCTATCCCACTCTCCCCACTTCGCCTCATTCTTCTGGCGCTCTCTGACCTTGTTCGCCATCATGTCTCCCGCATCGCTGAACTCCGGTTCCGGCTCGGCTTGGAATAACTCCCTATCAGACAAACCCCGAACCCCCCCCACCCTGTCCCGCACAGCGCTTCTCTCCTTCTTGGCCTGATCAACCTTCTCCAAATACTGCCGGAAGGCCTCATCCTTTTCCTTGAGCCACTTCGCCTTATTTTTCGCCTTGAGCTCTCGAATTTCCGCCTTCATACCCTTCGTCTGTACACATCCAGCGTCTGTCCACCGTTCCCAGACACGCTCCTGTCGGTTCCGCCACCTCCGTTCCCGGTCTTGCGCCTCCTCTGGAGAGGGCGTCCATTTCGACTTCAGAATTCTCCGGATAGCATCGGGCGATACCCTGAAGATTTCCGAGAGTTTTTGCGTCGTGAGCTCGGGGACGCTGCAGTGGAGCTCTTTCACCCAGTCGCGGGCCTTCGGGGAAAGCTTCTTGCGTGGGGCCCAGGCCATGCCAAACTTTTTTTGAAGTGCAGCCTTCTGGACCTGCCAGTCCTCGAGTTCGGATCTCGGTGTGGTGGCAACGAAGTGTTGGAGCCTCTGCCTAGCGTCCCACTCGTCGGTCATTGACTCCTTTTTGGCCTCCTCGACGGGAGGGAGCTCCCATTTTCTCCTTTTGCGCTTCTGTTCCCACTCGAAACCTTCCTCCACTTCATCGTGTAGGGCGGATTGCCACCTCTGGTTCACCTGCTCCCTCCCTCCGGCAGATTCCCTTGTCTTGGCCCTTTCCCGAGAAAACGGTTTCCTGTCAAAGGGGTCCTGCTCGTCACGAATGAATTCTTGAATGGAGGGTACTCTGGCCTTTATTGGTTTTGGTAGTGACTGATGGACAACGGGCACCGGGATCTGGCAGTGTCCGATGACAATTGTCTTTTGAACCTTCACTCCGCCCCTATCCTCCCTCCCCTTAACCTCCGGTGGCTCATCCTTACCCTCTTTGACCTCCAGGAACCTGCCCCCTCTAGACTCCAATCGACGCTCCATAGGATTCCTCACACCTACTTTTAATGCTCCCCACTTTCCCTCCTCCTTCCTCCTCAGCTTTTTCAACACCCTCCTCTCCTCAATTGGCAACAGTCTCTCGTCCTCTATTGCCCGCTCCCTCTCTTCCTTTCTCCTCTCCTCAACAAGCAACAGTCTCTCGTCCTCTATTGCCCGCTCCCTCTCTTCCTTTCTCCTCTCCTCAACAAGCAACAGTCTCTCGATCTCTGTTGCCCGCTCCCTCTCTTCCTTCCACCTCTTAGCTTCCCTCTTGGCCGCCTGCTTCATAGTCGGGAGTTTCCAACTATCCCTGCCCCTAACCCCACGTGGGCCCTCTCCGACCCCATCATCACTACCACTCTCGGCCACTCTCGCCGCTCTCTCCCGCAACACCGCCAACCTCGCATCCTCCTGCACGTCCACAACCCCACCCACAACCGGCAACCCCGTTTCCGCCATAGACCTATCCAGGGCACCCCTCCGCGCCCATGAAGCCTCGATATTCCTGCGGATCAACTCAATCGTGCGCTTTGACTCGGCCTCCCGCGCCTGCGACCCGGTCCCAGCTCCGGGCAATCCCAGTATCTCAACCTCGGGCTCGTAGGGATCCACTACATCCGAGGCTTGTAGGGGGGTGGGAATGGGTGTAGGGGGAGGAGGCGGGGGCAGGAGTCCAGATAATCCGTCATCATCACCGACGAGTATGCGTTTGTACGTTGTTGTGATGGGCGGCCCAAACGGGATATAATCGTCGTCACTGGGCGGGGGTACCGTGGATCCACTAGCGAGCGTGGATTGTAACCTTTGGCTTGTGGGGAATTGGGTTCGGGTGCGTGGACTGGGCCTCTGCTGCTGCTGTCGGAAGCGATAGTGCTGAAGCCGTGGCCCCGACCGCGAGATAGAAGCCGCTATGGACTCCTGCAGGAAAATTCGTAGTACGCGGGATGTGCAATTGTAGCAGGGCATCGGATAAAGGAACCCCCAAAAAAAAAGAAAAGAGAGGGGGGTAGAAGGAGGAGGAAAGGAATTGACTGTAAACCTCTATGGGGTTGAAGGAAGCAAGAAGAGGGAGTGAGGGGAAATATTTGGGCAAAGACTTTTTTCTTTTCCGGTTTTTTTTTTTTTTTTTCCTCACCACCAAACTAGTTATCAAACCGGTAACTTATGGGTAGAGGTGGGGTCAACCCCGTGGGTACGCCAAGATTTTTCTACGGGACCATTTTGCCCGATGGCTTTTGTGGTGGGGTTAGGGTTGATGATGATCCGCTTCTGCTTTCGGGACGGATAATGTGCTGCTGGTTACTCGAGTATCATGGCAAATTTATGGTAGACAAGGAAGAGAGCAATCCATAACATTGCGATACCAGCGGCAATCTGCCTGAAGAAGCATTGCCGCGAGCGACTCAGCACTATACACTACTCGCATGATACTCGTACTGTACAGTACAGTACAGTGTCTCGCATCATACAACTGGGGTTCGAAAAGTGAGTGGACACGTGCACTTGCAATCTATCATACCATCCTATCATACCGCGAAAAATACCAGGTTCCGCACCAACTTGGGGTATTACACTGGAGAAGATTCGCGAAAGATACGAACTTTCGGGAGTGCAGATTTCCCACCATGGCAGACGGTTCCTGGTGCAGGTTTGTTCTCATTAACTGCTGTGGTACTCTTCTGAGAATTTGGTAGGGTGTTGCAGGTTGCAATTGACGTCGGGTAGTCCACATATTTTCCTGGATACTCTCTCGTTTTTGATGCGAGTATGTATTGGTGCTGGAATCAGCATGTGGAGTTGGGTGTCTTTGGTGTGGACTGACTATGTTGTGCCCGCTCACTTTGGGTCCCACTTACATCGTTCCGCCAGCGACATCTGCACTACCGTACCGTACTGTACTGTACTGTATTCGTACAGTACTCGCACCGTGCAGAGTGTAACCTCCAACTTTGGTTACTCGCCAGGGTACTCTGCTACGTCAGGTCTGTCTGTCCCCGCAATCACCCTGGCCGTTAGGGAAAAGCCCAATGACTGGAACACGATACTGTACTTGAGGTTTTGCGCACCGTACGATACGATACACCTCTTTCGATAACCTTGCCGTCGATCCCGTAGCTGGTAAATACGGCCGTGCAGTGCATTGCTAACGTGTTCAGAGCTTTGAACCTCTCTCTCTCTCTCTCTGCTCACCGCCACCCGTCGCTCATGGTGCGGCACCGGCACAGCAAAGCAGGGCAGAGCAGTGGCAGCGAGTAAGATATCTACACCACAATCCTCCCAACGAGCGTATGATGATACCTACAGCATCAACAGCAGAGGGCGGGCGAACTGAGCAACATAATTTACGGCAATGAAATACTGGTATAATAAATAACACAACCTCCAACAATTGGCCGAGCTTAGCGACAAAAGAAATGAACATCCCCTAGATTTCCATACAAAATGCACAAGTTTGACCAAACCACCACAAATTTGCAAAACAAAATTTCTCCCTTAAACAGTAATTGGATTGAAGGGAATCATGAGGGATTTTACATATAAATTTGCCAATTTTTTTCTCCTCTTATTCTTAACACAGGTAATGGAGAAATGAAAGCCAGCTGACATGGTCGCAATGTGGAAGCCCCCATACAAATTTCCTGTCTTGGCAGTGCTTTGGCCGTAGATATTATACCGAGAACTCTGAACCCTGATATCCTTATGATACAGCAGTTTCTGTAACATGTCTTTTAGTCTAATTATGTGGGTCCCAGTGTCAAATTGCATTGCCCAAAAAAAAAACACCAGATTTTCCTGAGGTAGTGGTGGTGCATAGGCACCTATCGAAAACCTGCATTTTGTATGGAAACCTAGGGGGCGTTCATTTCTTGTCGCCGAGATCGGCCATACCATCCTCCAGCAATCTCCAAAACTACAACTTACTATCCCTCCGACAAAATAAATAAGTTCAAGCATCATACGGAAAATCAGTCCTGAACTCACCCCGCAACGGTCCTTCCAAACCCACCTAAATTATTGTTTTCCCAAAGAGGGGGCGCGGGGGGTTATGGCATATGGTACTCGAGTAGAGAGCTAAGCCAGTGGCATGAGGGATCACTCGGTGCGTCGGGGACTTTCCCTCAGTGCAGGAGAAAGGAAGCAAGAAAGGGACAAAGCATTGAATAACATGCATAAATGTAGCTGTTGCAGGAAAGGGGGAGGGAGGAAAAAAAAAAGGGAAAGAAAAGATGGCTATTTAGGAAGAGGTGAAAATCTTAGTATATATCATAGTTTTGTAATAATAGCACAGTCCAGCCCAGAAAGCCTCCACATGGCGATCGCTAGTTCTCAAGAGGAGGGGATGTTCCTCAACGGGGGGAAGGTTTAATTAGAGGTCTTACGGGAAAGAGTTAAGGAAGGAATTTCCACCCCCCCCCACCCCCACATACGGACTCGAATGGAGGAGGTATGTAAGATGGTGACAATTTTTAGCACCGTGTAGGGTACTTGCTGCCACTACGGAATGATGAAGATATGAATGAATGAGTGAGGGTGAGCGGAGAGGACAAGAATTGGGATTGAGTATCATAGATTGAGAGCAGGTATTATAGGAATTTTTCTTTCTGTTTTCCTTCTCACCATCGATAGGGAGTAAGCAAGTGACATGGTATCCTGCTCTCGGGCCCGACTCTGGTCCTATTCTCCTTATCACACTCTAAACCTAAACTCAGTGATCCGCTACTGAGAACAGTAGTGAGGTTAGCAGGTGTTCTGAAGACTAGTTCTGGCCATTTGCGTACTGGCTCTTCTGGCCCGGGATACTAGCCAATGTATCGCCTTCGCCCAGGCAGGGGCCCGAGCAGGTCAGGCAGGATAAACCGTAACAATAATCGCTTAGTTTTCTGGGATCATTTCCTTTTATCGATCAGGGTATTACCGAGCACTGATAGGCTGAGTGCTCAGGATTTGGTTTGAAGATGAAAGGCATTGGTTCTTGGAAGATATGCTCGGGGTTTCTGCCGTGAGGGGGCATCTATTATATACTTTTACTCTACCAGGTTCCGCTATTTTTTATTGGCTTTTCGACCGGACCTACAAGTCATTCCACTCCGGATCAAATCGATAGAATCGTACCGCTACTACACATACTGCTCAGTGGTATCCAGTTAGTCCCGATAGTACTGTGAGGTATATCGGAGCTCCGGATGCCCTTCAGAGATCTCTAGCTAGACCTAGCGATCACGCGTGGATATCTGTAAATTTGAAATAAGACTCATTGGGGGTAGGGAGTGTTATGTTAATTAGCGCTCTCAAAGCGATGCTGCAGTCTGTATCTTTGACCCTCTCGCTAAGATTAGGATTCCGCGAGAAACCCCTCCACTGTCAGTTGAAGAAGTCGGCTTCCCTTATACCTGTATGGGGGCGACATATTTCATGCGCTCTCTTGGGGATGGCGGGCTGACTACCAGAAAGTATACTGCTAGAATTTAGACGATGCGCGAAGGCATCGCTCTATTTTGTACCGTGATCTTTTCTCTCCTCCACATCTTAGACACTGGGAGAATGTAGCAATGCAGACTATTCAATAATTTTATCCGAAAGGGTATTGTGCGGCCTATCCCTCTCATAACTAGTGGGAAGCCGAATAGACAAGCCAACCCCAAAGCCAGGGAAATTGGTGGAATATCTTCAAGCTCAACAGCCAATGTACAAGGAGTCACGGTGAGGAGGAGACGTAGGGCTCGGGAAATCGTTTATTCTCTAGAACTAGACTCGCCCGTATGATATAACTAATTGCAGGTATCATAGACAAGTGTCTCCCCATGCGAAATACCAGCACTGCGCTGGACCGGTGTCAAAGCTATTTAACCCTAGGACCGCTAGCTCCGCTCGCTCTCCAAGCCGAGAGAATCATGGAAACGATGGCTTCTACACCGACACCATTCTTCACTTGAGCGAAGATAGTGGGCCCGCCCTCTCTAAATCATCATTATAGGTTAGGATCGCTTTAAGCGGCTCTTCCAAGTCAGGGGAGATGAAGATGGCACAAACCGCATCCTACGAGAATCACGATCCATGACATCCAAATCCGCCCCAATGATTTCTGCAAGATCGGTCTTATTAACGATTAGGAGATCCGATTGAGTAATGCCTGGCCCACCCTTGCGGGGGATTTTGTCGCCTCCGGAGACGTCAATCTAATCAACCAAAAAGTATAAACCGCAACTCTCCGATATAGGAAGGTGGGGTGACGCAGGGGAAATCATACAACATAGATAATGTAGTCGGCAAGTTCACGGGAATAGTTTGCTGCCAGGTTGTCACCACCGCTCTCAATCAACAAAAGCTGGGTATCGAATTCGCGATGGAGATCCTCCAACGCATGAAGGTTCTGCGAGATGTCCTCACGAACTACTCAACCCTTTAGCTTAACCTAGCCTGGCAGCTTTTAGAAAAGAAGTAACAGTACCGGCGGCGTGAGGGCAACCCCCAGTCTCAATGGCACGGATACGCTTTGCTTCAAGAGCCTCGTTTTTAACAAGGAACTCCTGATCCTCCCTGGCCGAAAACAAATCAGATCCTAGGTACAGTGTTGGAGGGAAAAGAGGTGAGGGTACTTGGTAAAAATGTCGTTAGTAACAGCAGCAATTGAATAATTATCCCTAAGATTCTTGCAAAGCTGCAGCATCAAAGCGGTTTTTCCGGAGCCAACAGGCCTGATGGTGGGGCCGTTCGGATTAGTTGCTGATGTGGGACTGGGGAGATTTTGTTGAAAGCCTACCCGCCAATACCAATTGTAAAAGCACGGTCTTCCCAATTCCTGCCTTCAACGATAGGGAGTTCACGAGCCAGGTAGGAGCCCGGGCCATCAAGAATCTCGTGCTCGTGGCCATGGGCATTGGCATGATCGTGAGAATGGGTGTGCCCGCCAGAGTGGTCATGGGTGTGAGACATCTTTTTCTTTTCCTTCCTCTTTTTGCGTAAAAGCAAGGTTTGTTGAGCTTGAAAAGGTGATGAGGATGGAGAGCAACGAAGGTCGGAGGAACTGAGTTGAAGGGGAAAGGTCAGAAGGCCGTGAGACACGTGATGAGTTGTGTGAGGCGGGTTCAAGAGGCCAGGCCTTACGGTACTATCGACGTGCGTAAATATTCAACCGCTGATCTTTTACTGGGTTCGGTGCCTTAGCAACATCACAACTGCACGGTAAGGTTAGCCAAGTACCGGTAGCTCTTGTACCGTGGTCTGCTGTACTCGCACTGTACTCGTACCGTACCGTGCAGTACCCCAACCTTGGGTGTGAAGCGGTACGGTAGGTTAAAGAGCATAATATTATAATACATTGGGATTAGAGACAACAAAACAACAACCATTATATTGGAAAAACCACACGAGTTCAGCCGCCCCTTAACTCCTACAATAAGAGTAACTGGTAAAAGAAACCTATGAAATATTTAAACGTCATGAGCTCAAACATCAATTCCTTTAGCTCGTTGATCCTGCACCACCACCCACCCGCCTCCGTAGAACGAACGAACGAACAAAAAAAAAAGGCACCTTTTAAAAATCCCATGCCCTCACCGGAATTGGGGATTCCGAAATCCCCCAGCCTAGAGCAACACTTCCACTTCTGCTCCCACATCAATCCCGACCTTGAGAGAAAAGGAGAAGCAATAGAGCATTTTTTTGTGCAAGTAATTGTGAGTATTTGAATAAACGCAACTGCGCATCACAAAAACACTTATCATAACAGGCAAATGAAAACGCCCCGCTTGATCCAAGAGCCCGAAAGTACATAGGAAATGTTGACAGAAGAGGGAGAAAAAATTGGTGGGTTTGAAATTTAGGAAGGAAAATCGAAGAGAAACAAAAAAACCGCAGGAAGTAACCATTGGAAAGGAAAAGGTGAATAAGAAGGAAGACTCAAGAAAGAATAAAAAATAAGAGAAACAATGTTCAAGAAAACCGAGTAAGATGTAGTTAGGAGAGATAGTTATTAGGTATAAAAACCGAGAGCCACAAGTTTGCGTTAATAAAAGGAGAATTAGGAAGCTTGCTCTTCGCCCAAATCCGTCTCAGAAGCTTTTTCCGTACACTAGCAGTTAAACCTTTGTGCCCCAAATCCCGGACAGATGATTCGACATGATCTTTCCGCCCATAACCCAATGACCTCTCCTCGAGAGAAAAAGGATAAAATAATCGTATCCAGACCAAGACCAAGACCGGAAATGGCCGGAATAGTACGTGTAGAACCACGAATATAAAAAAAATACACAAAATAAACAAGGATCATGGATCTCATACAAGGCTATGATCATAAGGTGGAGCAAAGGCTGCAATAGGTGAAGAAAAGGCAGAACGGTCCTCACTAGAGTTCATGTAGCGTTGTTCGCCTTTACCCGCTTGTTTCCTCCTACTCTTGGGCTTTGCTTGATCTTGTTGTTCTGAGCCCCATTGACTCCATTTTCGTCATCTCCTTCGTTTTTCACGTTGCTCGCACTAGGCCTTCGCCGTTTGTTAGTATTGGGCGATGTACCCGCAGCGGTGGTAATTGTTTGCGAACTGGGGTTGCTCGTCGGGTGGGCTTGTTGCGAATGTTGTTGTACTAACCCAGGCGCCTGAATATGATTTTGGGCAGGACTAGGCGTTGTCCCTGGTCCTCCACCGCCTCCCATATGTGGTGATGGAGGAACACCCATCCTCATTCCATCCGCCGAGGGCGAGCTCATCCCGACCGGTACACCACCCTGCATGCCCTGGTGCTGCCCAGGATGTTGAAGCATACCCGGGCCGCCAGCATGACCCTGCGGCACCTGTAATCCTTGTGCTGTTGCCGCTATTACCGCTGCCTGCTGCTGCTGCTGCTGCTGCTGCTGTTGAGCATGCTGGTTCGCCAGGTGCTGCTGCTGTTGCTGGGTGACAAAGGTTTGCAGGACTTGTCGCGGAGTAAGAGCAGGGTTCACCTGCGAGAAACTGAACAAGTCTCGCATTTGCGATATTGTTTCCGATATCTTTCATCACACTAATCAGCCCAAGAGTTCCAAGCAGAAAGCGGGGTGATGTAAACCTCTAAGCACTGAAGCACTGCGGCGGGTACGCCATAATGGTTCACAATGTTTTCTGGCGCGTGTCCCTGTTGTGATGGACGTTTGCCTAGCGATTTGCTACCGGGGGAGGATTTCATAATGTCCGGTGAATCTTGACCAAAATTCCGAGGGACATACTCCGAGTGCTCCTCAACCCGGAAGTCTAATTCCTCCATTTTAGAAGCCACATTGAATGTCGCCCGCAAGGCTCCGCGAGCAACCAACTGTCGGTAATGGTTAGAGGGTTGAGATAGCAGCCGAGGTTATCGAGGGGTGGAATGAAAACTAACATGAAATCCGTTTTTAAACCAATATATGAAACTTGTTTTCGGGCACTCCACGATATGACTCTGGTTGGAAAGCTCCTTTTCCCGGACGTTTTCCAACACAATCTGGATATTTTGGACACCCGATCCGAATAGAATAAAGTAATACCTCGCCAGTACTTGGGTGGTTACTTCAAATTGCTTGGTTTCCCGTTTTTTGTTGTGCCACAAAAGTTGTCGCATAACTCCGTTTTGTGAGTAGAATTCTGATACAAACCTCCGCCAGTGATTTATATCGTTTGGTTCTTTGCTAGCATCAAATGCCGAAAGGTGCCCGGAAAACCGGTACAGTCCAAGGACCGAGTGTCCAAGTAATGTTTTCCTAATCAAAGTAGCGAATTAGCCTGAGAGCAGAATGTCGAAACTAGAGAGGTGGAGCTACGGTGTTTGGCGAGCTTGAGCTGCTGCTAGCGCCGCCTGCTGAGCTGCTTGCATGGGCATCGGCGGCTGGGGAGGCATCGCCATGGGCGTTTGAGCATTTGCCGCATTTGCTTGACTCAACGCGATTTGCTGTGCAGCGACCGCCATGTGCTGCTGCTGCTGCTGTTGCTGCTGCTGTTGCTGGGCATGTAATTGCTGTTGTACATGAGGCAGAAGATTTCCTCTCATGTGAGGATTTCCAGCTCCGTAGCCCCCCATATTAGCACCAGGAATTCCTCCAGGCCCACCCTGATACATCCCGTTTGGCACGGCCCGGATTTGAGAGTTTCCATTGCCCTGAAAGACCATGCCCCCGGGGGCTCCTATTCCATTCATCATCTGTGCCTGCTGCTGCTGCTGCTGCTGCCGCCGGACTAGCTGTTGCTGTAGGTGGGCCATCTGTGGGTGCATCCCTACTATATACACAACCAAGTTAGAATCGTCATCAACTATCAAGCTCCCCGTAGGCCATACCACGATTGCGGGGTACAATCGCGACGGCCAGCACGCGCCAATTGAGAAGGATGCAGGAAAACATGGGATTTGAAGGACCACTGACACATGTGCTGCTGGTAAGCAGCGGCTTGAGCCGCTTGGGCTTGGGCCTGTTGAGGATGTAAATGCTGCATCGCGGCGTGAGCGGGCTGTCCTGGGTGCCCTTGAATATGCTGTTGAGGGCCTTGCTGGACACCTGGGTGTTGCTGCAATTGGTTAGGATGTGAATATGCGGTGGTGGCCATCGTGGTGGAGAAAGGTGTATGAGCCCCGTTGGCTGGGTGGAGGAAAGCGTGGGATGGAGGGAAAATAGGTTATGCGAAGCTACCGCAAGGCGGTCGGATCGGGGGGAAGAAGGTCGCGCCGCAGTATTAAATGGCCGAGCCGCTAGAGAGCAGATGACGTTCCAGAAATTTCGGTTTGACCCGGAACCCGTCCGAAGCGGCGAGCCCAGTGCTGAGAGGGGGGGGAGGGCAAAGGAAGCGATGACCGATGGAATAGTTGCAAACTATCAGGAGAGGTGATGAGGGGGAGGAGGTCGAGGATCAGGTTGCGTTAATTGTGGCGATACCGGAAGAATGTGATTTTTCCGTTTGAAGGATGGGGCAGTTGAGCCAGTCAGTAGGGAAGAAGTGAGTTGCTGTGGGAGACGATGGTGTTATGTTCTGCAGTGTGCAGAACAGGAGAGGGGTTTAGGGTTGTTGAGGCTCGCCGGGGTGAAAGGTTGGCTCCGTCGCGCGCGATGCACCGAGTAACGACTCCGAAGAATCTACGGAGGCTGGGCGTTTCCGGGCCACGGGACAGAGGGAGACCGATACCGGCAGGCGGTAGCAACACGTACACGGCCAGAGGATCAGGAGGAGGGGAAGTGGCTGGCGAGCCGGAAATGTGTGGAGTTTAGGGAAATAGGGCGGGACTGGGGGTAATGTGGGAGAGAAGGTGGTGGGCACAGTAGTAACGAGTGGGAGCGGGTAGAGAGTGGGTGAGAGGTTGGGGTACGGAAGAAGGGAAACTCGCCGCTGATATAGCAAGAATACCGCACGAAGCAGTGTATTCGGGTGAAAAGATAAAAAATAATGGAAAATAAAAAAGCCCGAAAAATGGATGGAAGATGGAAGACAGCTATAAAAGCAGGAGAGTCCGAGATCTCATGACCGCCTTGCCGGCTTCGCTTCGTTTTGTTCTTTTCCTTTCCTCCCCTTCGTTCTTGGTACCGATAACCTCGTGTTCTCCCTCTCGCTCACTCGCCACCTATTCTCTAGCTCTCCCCTCTTCCCAGATAGCAGAAGGGACAAGGGAATTCCCAAGAGCCGCGGGGGGGAGAAGTCAGGCCGTGCAATCTGATATGTTACCCTAATAGAGCTTTATAACGGCACCGTATAGGTAGAGGCTTCGCAGACGACGCGAATAGGGCTTCAAGAAAGAGAAATCCTTTCTATGAACACCGGTAGATAATATAATATTGCAAAGAGAGAGGGGAAAAGAAAAGAAAAAAAAAAAGCTTCTGGGAGAGAACCCGGAATAAAACGCCGACAGATCTTGGGGCTATTCTCTCCTTTTTCCCTCTTTTCCTCTCCTTTTGTCTTCGCAGGAAGAAAAGCGGTTAGCGACGAAAGGTCTACCGATAAGTGATGATTGATGATGATGGATTGAGTGCGATCACAGCGACGCGCACAATGAACGGGCAGACAGGATGGGCAACGGATGAACAGAAAAAAAGGGCGGACGGGTCAAGATGGTTTTTTCTTCCCTTCTTTTCTCTCTCTTCCTTCGCCTTCGAAGGGGGGGTGGTCTCTCTTTTTCACTGTTTTTTCTTCCCTCCCTTCCCTTTCTCTCCCATCCTCTTAGCTTTTTTTCTCTGAGGGGAAGAAGGGGGCTTTTCCTCTGAAATGTCACCTAATTTGCCTCCTTTTTCCCCATTACCCAGCCCTTTTGCCCTTAATGCACCAAATGCGGTGCAATGCCAAGCCTTTGTTTTCCGTCGGCGAATTCTCTTCCTCCCAGTGAAGGGGTATAAATTTGGCCCTCTGACAACCCTCTCCCCATCACACACTCCACTCATCTCGCAGCAAAGCACGATGCACGCACACACTCCGCACTGACTGCTCGTCTTTGGCACTGATTCATACTGTACGACCGGCCGCCGGACAATTTCTGCCAATGGGTGAGAGAGAATTCCTTTCCCCTTTCTCGATGTCAACGATTCCCTCCCCGCTCTTCGAAATGATGATCACTTCTGCAACTTCTTTCCAAATCATAATCGACCATGATTGAAGTCGGATTGCAGTTCGGGCATTTCTCGATTCCTTCGGGGAGAGAGAGAATGCTTGCTACTTGCCAGTACTATTCTGTCTGATCTCGAAGAGAATTGTTCTGCAATTATCCAAAACCATCTCATCAGGTCAACCTAGCTAACACTCATCACTCTGCTCGCAGGTTGTTCCCCAAATTGTCACAGCAATTAGTCGATATGCTCGATGAAACCTCCATCTCTCTCTCTCAATGGTTTGCTACCTCCCCCCACACTGCCTCTTTGTTTGCCCCTCCTTTCATGATGAAAAAAATTCCTACATTCGCAGTTTCCTCGGTAGCACACGCCAGAACCCAATTCTACAGTGTGCATAACGTGACCGCTGCAAGACCTTTCTTGGAAGTCTGATTTGGACCCTTATCGGCTTTTTTTTTATATTTGCAGACATTTTGCCATGGAGAGGTTGGCTAACCAGTTTTAAAGCATGGATAGGGTTTTCCCCCCCTCTGTTCTAATATCCAACAACGAAAGTAAGAAGGAAAGAAGGAAACTTCTTAGGCAAACCATAGACCTAGATTATGAGAATTAATATATGGAATATATGGAAGAAGAAAAAGCACAGTCCCTTATCTCCATTTTGTTACACCAGTACCGGTTTTCCGCCCACTCGTGCCTCCCCTCCATGCTATGTATTTGTGCCGGTAAGGCCCAACCCGTGACATGCCACCCATGGCCCAATCCCAACATGTCAAAACAAGCATTTCCAATATGCAGCGCGCAAAAAGCGCACTTTCCGTGGTGTCCTCGTGGCAACCAATTATGCCACCGCACAACACGCCGACTCACCAATTGCCCGACCGGTTCCATCACAAAACCCCAACCCTGTCAGTCAGTCGGGGCAGAAAAGCCACAGGCGAGTACTCGCACCGTACCGCAGTGGTGGCAGGCGAGAGCGAAGAGGACGAATGTGGGAACGTGGATCCACAAACGCCTTTGGGAAGGATGGAAGGGAGTAAGAATACGTGCTGTGCTGTACAAGTACTGTACTGTACACCGTACCGTCATTTTTTCTACAAGGACCGTTGTGTCGCACACCTTGCTCTTCCGCACAGTACGGTAGTCTAGGCGGCGATGCAGCACAGTATTTGTACTGTACCGTACTCGCTGTACGAGTACTCGAGTACAGACAGCAAGTATGGTAGGGGACGGTAAGTTACGGTACGGAAACCTGCGGCTGAGATGCAGGTACAGACAGTACCATACTCGTACAGTACCGGTCGGCACGGGTGGTACCGGCGGAGACGGGCGGGTAAATTGAGATATATCATGGCACCGTACGCGCCGTACTAGCACAGTACCACGCTGTAATCCACTCCCCACGGGGTTCCTCAAAAAGCCCAAAAAGACCATCCCCCAGTTATGACAGCAAGTAAATACCGGGGAGTTGCGATAGGCTACCCGGAGGCATACCGCAGTGCACACACAAGTCACGGCGATATCACAGATAACCAAGGTTTTCTTTTCTTAAATCTAACATGCATCGACGAGATTCAAGAAAAGAAAAAAAACCTCCCAAGTTGAGCCTGCGACAGGGATGGTGGGTTATTAACTTACCGGTACTTTTGGTATGATATGTTTTCATTTTTTCCATTTTTTTCTTTTTCTTTACACTTTATGTATTGTTTGATGCTACTGTTGAGGGTCGTTACCTGTCTTGCTACGATAATATTATCATAATACCAGGATTCTACAAATATAGTCGTTATCGTGGACTTGTTGGCCTCCATATTATACTTGTGCATAGCCAAAAAAAAAAAGGGAAAGAAAACTATGTACTGTGCCTCTTCCCTCCTACGTAAATAAACCAGGCCATACATGGTTCAAAATGTTTGACATGGCTTTACACAAAAACGATTGATAATACCACTCTCCCTTCCCTCCCTCCCTCACGGTGGGTGTGGCTGAATGACAACAGCACAACGCCCAAAAGTAACGATATCCCAAGTCCAGGAACGAGATGAGAAGGGAAGGAGAAGAAAAAACCCCCCGAAAAAGGTACTGTGCCACGATAAAGCACTACTACTTACTGTTAATACGGCAGGCTCCTCGAAACACAGTGTAAGTAGCGGTCCATATAGTCCGTCACCAGGTCTGGTCTTGTTATTTGATGGGTGGGATGGTGGATATGCTTGGCGGTGGTATACATACGGTACAGTACAGTGCTGTAGATAGATAGATATATAGATGGATGGATAAGATGGATAGATGGCATGCGATGAACTTTGGTGGTATTATATTACCGTCCAATAAGTATGTACCTGTTATATCAACGCCTAACTGACTGACTGACTGACTGACGGACGGACGGACGGACGGACGGACAGACGGAACTTGCAGATAGTCAGTCCCACTGCCTAAGGGAGTTTTTTGGTATCATAACTGACTTACTATATCATACTCTATCACAACAGATAACAAGAAAAGTGATTAGGCCCTGTAGACCATCAATCTACCTCTAGCTCGATAAAATCCACCCACTCACTCGTTTGAGTTATAGAACTTGGGTATGGATATGGTATAGTACAGTACAGTGCCGGCACTGCGCTCTATTATACTATAATTACGGGAGAGGAAAGGAAATGAGGGGAGGGAGGGGAGGGGAGTGTTATGCACCGACGTGAGAAAACCAATAGTGACCAGATGTAATAAACAGGACTTTCGTTCAGTATGGTACAATAGAACCCATCGTTAAATCGGCCCCGGCGCCAGTTCCTGCGCACAGATACGGTGAAGGAAAGTTGATCGCAGGTACAGTACTTTCAAGTTTCTACCGCTATAGGTTATATCGTGGGATACGTGATGGGGTTTATCAAATTATGGTACTGTATATGGAGGAGTAAAAAAAACAAAAAATAAAAGGCATTGTACTGTACTGTACTGTATTACTTGCGGACTTGGATAACTTCAAGCTTGTTATTATTATAATTATTATTTTTTCCTTCAACATTTGATTACTGCTACCGCTATAATACCGAGTTATAGATAGTACGGTACAGTATAATCTAGAGAAATTATTGAGAGTACCGTACCATACCGGAAATGCTGCCCGCCAGTTAGGTTATAAGTTAAGTTAGCCATAAGGATGTATAAAGGCATACCCATAACTCGAGTATCGCTCGTAACTAACTAACTTAACTAAACTATGATAAAATACCCTCCGGTCAACTAAATCCAACACCCCGTCCGTCCCGCCTTCCACCACTTCTCCCGGCATGTTTCTTGATAGGATACGGTAAGGCGTCGTACCGGTACCGTACCTTCTCTCGCACCGTAAGATTATTATTTTTCTTTTTCCTTTTCTCCATTGTCGAGTACTGTGCGGTACTGGTATAGTATAGTGCAATGTTTTTTCCCGACATGGCGACGCCATCTATCCATCGTACGAGCTCATGTGTAGTGATTGAGCGGCGGTAATTCCAGGGAAAGAGTTTTGTAAGGCTAGTGCTCGTTAAGATTACTGTATCGTACTTGTGTTTAATTTTTTGCCTTTCAAAACAAACGGCACGTTTCGGATTGCTTTTGCTATGTTGACGGGGGGTGGCGGTGCGGAAGGTAAAGAAGGGGGGCAAAGATGAAACGCTGGACCCTGCAATACGGGTACTTGGATATCAGAATGCCATCGTGACGAGAAGTTACTGTATGTCTGGGTGCGGTATGTTACGGCGGTGCACCCATCCATCACATCTGCTGCTGTACTAGTACTCACCAAGTATACAGGCCGATTCACCACGGACGATACAAGGCAATCAACCGTCAGATCTAGTCAAATCAAAAGGCTGCGCTACAATACGATACGATACGCCGTCACGAACATTCACTCGATCCGATCGGTTGAAATTAGTCCCCTCATCCTCCGTCCATCCATCCGACCGACCGACCGACCGACCGACCGAATGCGTATGCATGTATGTATATATGGGAAGGCAGGAGTACGGTGGGTAGGTAGGCAACCCAGCAGACATAAACAGCGAGCAAGCAAGAGGGAACGAGGTGGAATGGAACAAGGTAAGAACATAAGAAGGAAAGAAATAAAAACAGCGAAAAGCAAAAAGCAAAAAGCCGCCCTCGTAAACTGAATACCGCCCCGCCTTCGGTGAATGATTTCTGGTGAATGATTTCCAATAGAATGGAACGTAGTAGGGCGGGAGAAAGACTAGCCCATCTTATAGGGAAGCAGCTGGTCCACCCGCCCCTCTTGTTCGATACCATCCATGCATACAATCATGGCGCTTTCCTTTCTCCTCTCTCTTTCTCTCTCTCTCTCTTCCTCTCGCCAGAGGTGGGAAATCCGCAGGGACTCGCGACAGATAGACAGGAATCACTGATAGCGCATCGTATCATAAATACCATAGCAGTCAAATAGTCACGATTCAATCACGAAGAGGTACGTCACGTCACGTCAGCTCACTCGCTCACTCTCGGGACTCCTCCACCCCAGGCTTGGGAAAGGATAAAAAAAAAAAAAAAAAAAGAACAAAAGAAAAAGAATGGTAAAAAAAGAACAAAAAAAGAAAGCAAGAGAAGAAAAGAAAAGATTCCACACAAATCAATCAATCACCATCACGACGGGTAGAAAAATCGCCCAGAAATCACATAGTCTAGCACTAAAAAATTTCCTTTTTGGTTGTTGATGGCGTTGTGGCTAAGTGCCTGGGGCAGCACCACCCTGCGATTGCTGCTGTTGTTGTTGCATCATCACAGCGTAATACATCGTGCAGTAGGCCTGATACCCGCCGTACGGGGCGTACGGATCATCCTGGGCTGCACCAGCGACGCCCGGTGGTGCTCCCCCTACACCAGTGGCCGCGGTGGTGGCGGCAGTGTTTGAAGTTGATAGGGCGGGAGGAGAGTTTGAGGAGGGCTGTGAGAGAGCGTAGGTTGGCCAAGTGGGCTGTTGAGACTGCTGCTGTTGGTCGGAGGGAGTAGAGAAGTGGCCGGGGCGGGCTGGGGGGGCGCTGCGTGTCTGCGCAGTTGTTAGTGTGCGGGATGAGAGGGGGGGAGGGGAAGTACGGATGATTCGACTTTTTCTTCGATTGCGATGCGTGCGCGGGCGATTGCTTCGCGGGTCCCTGCTAGGGCAATTTCGCGTTCAGGGTCACCTTGCTGAAATTGACTAGAGACATTGATACGACAGCCGGTCGAGGATTGCATCTCTTTAATTGTTTCTCCACCTAGTTTTCATTAGTGACTCAGGAGATATAGGATGGATAAAGATGAAGGACCTTTCCCAATAATCATGCCAACAGCATCTATAGGAACCCTGATGGTTTCAGTTAATCTCCCTTCCGATCCACCTCCCCCACCACGCCCTCCCCCACCGCCTCCGCCGTTATCGCCATGTCCACTATAATACCCGCCACCTCCGCCTCCACCCCCACCACCAGGTGCCCCACCCCGCTCGGGCCTTGACATTCCGGGCGGTGGTCCAGTACCCGCATTATCGCTTTCGACAATTTCCATTATCAGCCGTTTTGCATCCTCCGCCGCCTGGGGCGACCCAATAAGGTTAACGGGGCGTTGGCCATTCTGACTCTTTGCCTCGCCAACAATGTTAACGTGGCAACCGGACTTGTCCTGAATGTCGCGAATTGTTTCGCCGCCACGACCAATTATCAAGCCAACAGTTCTATCGGGCACAAGTATCTGTATGCTATCTTCTGACTCCCCAAGGGGAACTCAGTCAGTATAAGAGTTCAAAATCAACAAAAAAGTTGAGTTTTTCTTTTTTTCTTTTTCGAAAAAAGACGGCACAGAGCTAATTCCGCGATTATCAAAAAAGATCCTCTTGGCGAGCAGGATGGTTTTATCAAGATCAAGAAAAAAGAATAGGATAGCTAGGGAAGGAAAAGGAAAAGGGGAGAAAAAAGAAAAAAAAAAGGATAAAACGGCAAAAGGAGAGAAAGATATTTCTTGCTACCACTGTCGCCAAGAGGAACCGCAGACAAACCTCCGTCTCGCAAGTTGGGCTGACCTCCGCTTCCACCAAATTTCCCCCGACCACTGGCACCTCCGGAAGGGCCTCCCAATCCGCCTCCGGATGGACCATTCTCCGCGATAATTTGCTCTATGGCTCTCCTTGCGGCCCCAATTTGCGGGCGTGTGCCTTGGATATTGCAGACCCGTTCGCCACCACTGTCCCGATCCTGGCCGTTTGTGAGGAATTGGACTCGAGCTCCCGTCTCCTGCTCCACACGCCTCAGGGTCTCCCCACCGCGACCGATGATTAGTCCAACAAGCGACGATTCAATGTTCATCTGTTCGGCATCCGGAGGTGGCGAGCGCGCCCTATGACTGCCGCTGTACCTCTCTGCTCGCGCCGGAGGCGGGGAATAAGGATTTCCCGCGCCAGCCCCAGGCGGACCGCCCCGCCGTGGTGGACTGTAAGAACGCTCCCGCTCGCGCATACCGTACTCGGCGCTAGCGCGCGCACGACGCTCGTCGCGGAAGGGGTTGTAAGCATCTCTGAAGGGTTCACCGCCACGACGGGAGGGCGGGGAGCGAGTGCGGGATCGGGAACGACGGGAACCGTATCTTGATCGTGGGTCTTCGTAGCGTGTGGCTAAATACACAGTGGCATAAGCAACTCCCTCCGTCACATGGAGAAGCCAGTAGGGGAGGGGCAGATGAAAAAATGAGATGTGAAAGAAGAAGAAGAAAAAAAAATGAAAAAATGAAACTCACGTGCTTGCTCCCGGTAAGTGGGTTGGATCCCCATCTCGGCAGCTCTAGCCTTTGCTCGCGCGAGTGCGTCATCTAGAGATACCTTCCCGGATGTTGTAGGTTTGATATTGCTGAGGTCGAGGGAACCTGATGCAGATGGCTGCGGCAGAGAGTAGCCAAGCGGAGGGGAGGTCACGGATTGCGAAGGCGGCTGACCGGTCAGACCTGCGGGAATTCCAGCGTATCCCGCGGGGCCACCTTGCGGCAATGGCGGTCCTCCCTGGGATCCGGGGGGTCGCTGTGCGCTTGCTGTAAGATCGGAAGGAGACCTCCGATTAGCACGAGGAGAATCTAGAGCAGGGCAGGCAGGGTCGGGAGGGATGGCAACAAAGAAGAGGTAACTAATTCAAGAGGGGGGGGGGGGGGAAACGTACTCAGGGCAGCGAGAAGAGCGGCGACATTCTGATCCGCCATGACTGCGGATAAAAACGTGATGGATAGTAAGCAGGGGAGAGAGGCGAATACTGTAAGTAGGCGAGGTGTTCTTTCTCCTCCTTCAATCCTCTTTCAAGAGAGAAAGGAAACGGAAAAGAAGAAGAAAAGTAAAGGGAAGAATTAGAATAAGAATAAAGGTAAGGAATAGTAGGGTAGGATGGTATTAGAGGCTTATTGAATGAAACCCTGTGACGCGAAGTGGGAATAACACAAAAAGCGTCGGACGGGAGGGTAATTCTCTTTCTTTTTTTTTTTTTTTTTTTTTTTTCCTTTTGCTCCTGCTTTCCCTTTCCTAAGTTAGAGTGGAACTGGGGTGTGGATGGGATGGGTTGGCGTCGTTGCAGCTTCTTGAACTCGATCGTGGTTGTGCCCAGGTTCACTCGAGCACAGGATGTATTTACGAGTACGGCGGGAGGGTAGTACCGGTACGGTGTGTGAGCTTATACCGGTATCGACCGTCTCCCACTGGAATCAGGTGTGTTGTGTGAATGCATGCACGTATGCATGCGAGAGCCAGAGAATGTCAATAAAGGGTGAGCGAGCGTCACACGGCAATCAAACCAGATGGCGCCTCTATGTACTCGAATAGGGTAGCTGTAAACAATGAAACAAGAAGTGAGTATGATACTCGCCACTGTATGATGGATAGCGGTGGGAGGATTGTGGGATACCAGTATGATAGGGTAGGGTTAGGTGGCTGCTCGGTTGCTCGGTTGGGCGATCTAGACCTACCCTTACCGGTACCACTGGTAATGCCCCAACGGGGGGACACCTACCGTACAATATGACGCCGCACTTCAAGTTGACCTCTCCCGACCATCACAAGCAAAGTGAGAGAGTTGGTTCTTTGTTCTCGCTTCTCATCATGAGCCCCCCCGGGATGAACGTTGAAAAGGTGAGGGGAAACGGACTTTGGAGGGGAATGAAAAGAAAAAAGAAAAAAAGGAAAGGGAAGGAAAGGAAAGGAAGGAAGGAAGCAAGGAAGCAAGCCAGCAAGCTAAAATCCCTTTTGGGCACAGAGTGGTCACGTTAGAGGACTTGGCTTTTGGTTGATCGCCTTTGTTGCCATGGCAATCCCTGATACAATTTTTGAGCCGCAAAACAACACCAACGCTGTGAGGAAGTGTCGTTGCAGCACGATATCCGTATCATACCCTAGACCTCTCGAGGCGAGCCGCAGCCGAGTGATTCCCTCTGAAGAGTGTGTGCTACTGTATGATATTGATCTCTACTCGTATCCGGGCGTTAACATGTAGGTAGTAGCCCGCAGGCGCTACTTGTACATTACCGTGAGTGACCGCTTGATTTTCGCCGTCCGGCACTTCTCCTCCCCCCCCCGGCTTGCTCCTGCAACACCCCTTCACAATGTTCTTGCACCCATACAGTAGCTCAGATACTAACACTTCACCTCTCAGCGGCATCACGAACCCTCTCCCAATCATGCCATAGTTCTTTGTCAGTAAAATCAACAAGCAAGCGCTGCTTCATATGCCTACCAGTGTCAATCGATCGGTACAATGAAAAAAACAAAGACTGCATTTCACCAAGAGACCCAACCCTCTGGCTCACAGCAATACCGTACGTGATGATTCTCAAAACATCATGCATTTGCAATAGTACAAGTGCTGCAGAGGCTCTCGCGGGCATATATATACCCGTCGGACAAGGGGAAGCTCCGGAAGTTTTCAACATAGGGCCCGACTCGACTCTATGGAAGGGTGGCAAAGTGGGTTTGGAACTGGTGAAGAAGTTTTCCTCCTACCTTTCTAATTGCCGGATGGACTTTCCTATCCTATCGAATTGGATGTTCCTTTTACAAGAGAGGCCAACTTGGGGTCGTGAGACTGGGTTGATGTTATTAATTTATGACCTGATGATAACTTGGCGATTTTTATATCATTTATTTGTCATTATTATTCCGTGGTGGAGTTCCCCTTGCGATGAGTTTTTTTTAGGCCATACCTTTGGGTGTATGCCATTGGTTTTCTGGCTTCTACATTTGTTGTGTCTGCGAATAGATCCGAGGTCCTTAAAAAATCGAAAAAATCTCGCGAGCATATACAGGTCACAAGGGTTCCCGGAATGGAAGCAAAAGGATTGCACGAGGGGTACCCCCACCTCCCACCTCCCACTGCACTCTGGGCGCAACAGCAGCAGATACCGGTACATCAGTAGCGGACCGGGACCCTCATTGAATGGCCTTTGTGTCACTTGGGAGGAGAGAGAGGAGGACAGCCTCCTCCAGAGTCTGGCGGCAAGAATAGCCTTCGCTACGGCACCAGTACTAGTACACTCTCGGCTTAAGCCATAGGCCACTAGAATTGCTTGAAATTCTCGGTGCACTCGAATATCTTTCTCTGACAGAGGGCTACCACAGACCACACTCTCTCTCACCAGGCCACTACCTCCCCTTCCCTCTGGTCCCTGGGGTCAAGCACTGGTATGATACCTATTCTACCGGTACCGTACCCTACTGTGTTAAGCAAGTTCTTCATCTGCCACCATCCTATCATATGGTGCCGGCATCTAAACATGATCCCAACCAACACACTCAGCAGCGAATCGTGTCGAGCCTCGACCGTACTGTAGAAAGGTGCATTTCCGCTTACATCCAAAACCTTCACAAGTGCCTGTAGTGGCGCTTCCACCAACTGAAACATACCGTATGATAGAGACCCCGCCGTTTCCGTAGCAAACATGTCCAATCCCGCCGGGGGATACCAAAACCCTGATGGAGAGTGACGTTCCGTGACCCCTCATCCTCGAGTGAAACCACCACCGTGCCAAAGTGGAAACAATATTCGGGGACGAAGCACACGAAACGAAACGTTTCAACACCGGAGAGGCAACCATTATCCTATCGCACCAGCCTACGGTAAGTTATTCGTACTATGATGGGTATTTCTAATTACAGTATTGTCCTATGGATAGACCGACCATCCCCGCAAGCAAACCGCCATGGAATCTCCCCGCAGCGCCTCTCGAGACCATAGGGGAGGGAGGAGGGCTCTGGGGGCCTACAGCATCCGGCCTACTGAAAGGCAACAATCCATCGTACACGCGTACGGGTACAAACCTCGCGGACCCCCCTATCCAGAGACGGCGATACTGGCACCAGGGTACAGTGGTACAGTACGAGTACGAGTACATACCGCCAGCAGGAGGAAACTCCCTCCAAATAGCGGGCGTGATATCTCCATCACCCTCCAAGTCGGCCTGGGGTTCCTCGTCGTCACAGCAACGAGAGGAAGATTCCCCTGTCGTCTTATACTCGAGTATACGGTATACGGACCGATACCGCGGCGGATCAACGGTTGTATGATAAATATAAAATTGGCGCTTTAATTTCTCTTGACGCTCGGCACCTCTGTCTCTTTCATGAAACCTGAACCACGATGGGGTGAGGTTACCATAGTTATTTAGCAGAGGGTTGGACCAACGAGTCGGAAGAGCCGGCTGGTCAAGCGTTTTCTCGGCGGCTAGTGTGACGTAACCCAAAAGGTTGGGGTCCAAGCGAAAGGATTTGGCTGAGGAGACAGGAGGAGGTTTCATCTGATTGGTTCCGGGGTGGCGGGACTATTTTTAACCGGAGAAAAAAGAGGGAGACAGAGCTAAATGACCCGTTTGGGGGAATTAACAAAGAAGAATGGGTCTCGGGTGGTTAACTGTTTGAGTTATTTTGATGCCTTTTCTTTCCTGGAACGATTGCCGTATCCGGCCTCAATGGTGGCAGTGGCGAGTGATCTACAAGAGGCGTGCCAAAATGACGTTAACCCGCTTAAGAGAAGGGGAGGCTGACTCGCTAGTAGGCTTAAACTCGATTCGGTTGGGTAACCTTGCTTTTTAACAGTGAATGGGCCAATGGCATCCTCGGATCCGCACAATGACGGAGGATAACCATGGACGCGCTTTGTTGCAAGCATGTTCCGCTGATGCCAGATCCTGATCTCCCATTCGCTCAACCTCAACCTCAATGGAGACAGACATGAGGATTTTTTTTCTCTCCACCGCCTCTCCATCTTAACGGGTTGGGCGACGTTTGAGGAGGAACCCCCTGACCCTGACCGTCGGTTCTCTCTCTCCGTATTCTATTGGCCGTACCGGGCTGAATGGGGGGAGATGGATCGGTTCATGTTGGCAGAGTCATTCATTCATGCCTGATTGGAGGGTCGAGCTATCTTGGGAGATGGGACCCGCTGGGAGGCTTACCGTCTCCCAAGATATATACCGCGTACCCTCCCCCACCCCCTCCGTAGTATTTCCACCTCCACACATCATCACCACTGCCATTCTCATAGGGGCCCGTCTTTCAATTTGCCTACGGGTTCCCTTTCCCTTCTATTTCCTTTTTCTTTCTTTTCTTTCTTTCCTTTCTGTTTCTTATTTCCTTGTTCGTCTTTTCAACTTTACTGTTTCTCTCTTTCCTTTCTTCCTTCCCTTCTCCTTCTTGAGACAACAAACCTCCATCAGTTTCCAGCTCTTATAATTCCCTTCTTTCCTTTCCATCATCCGCTGGCTGGTTCCGCCTAATCTAGATATAATTATTACGAAAAACCTACGGTAGCAGAAACGACAACCGTCATTCCCTCATTTCCAGTCAAACATGGACGGCACACATATGTATACAACCGACGCTCCAAGCTACGAGGATGCCATGAAAGCTAGTAGACGAGCCCCACCAACCACTCACGAATTAACCCCTTACCTTGGATTGCGTGCTCGTCTTTCCCAGGTCTGGTTCAACCGATGGACGCTGCTTCTCTTCCTTGTGCTGGTAAGGGTCATCCTTGCCACGCAATCGCTCGATGGGGACCTTAGATCCGCACGGAGGGAGGCACTCTCGGCCTGCACCGGTGTGGAGAGCATGGGCTCCGCCATGGCTTCCATGCCGCATTATATGTCCAAGGGGGTGAACGAGGTTGCGGCATTGGGCATCGAGACCGGTGTCAAGGCCCTCGAAAAGACGCTGCTACTTCTCATCACCGGTGTCCAGGAAATCGTCGTCTTTGTCGTGAACATGATCACCTCTACCTACGTCTGCTTGATCACCCTGGCCATCCAAGGTTCCCTCGGTGCCGTTCTCGAGGCCACCGAGAAGATTGCCGACTTTGTCAACAACACCATGGGAAAGATCTTTGATGACGTTGGAAGGGAGGTCAAAACCGTCCAGGATGGCATCAATAAGGTCTCCCAGGCTCTGGATAAGGTTCCCAATTTCTTCGGAAGCGATGTCAACTTTCCCGATGTCAAGTTCCCCAGCCTTGATGAGTTGAAGAAGGTTCAGATCCCGACGAGCTTCGACGATGACTTGGCGAAACTGAAGGACAGCATCCCCACCTTTGATGAGGTGCAGAAGGCTGCCCACGACGCCATCAGGATTCCATTTCAGCTCATCTCCGTATGATCTATCCCCTCCCACCTCTGCTGCCCGGTGACTGACAATGACTAGAAAAAAGTCAATGAATCCATTGGCGTGTACGAATTCGATCGTTCCGTATTCCCCGTCCCCCAGAAGGAGAAGCTTACCTTTTGCTCCGACAATCCCAACATCAACAACTTTTTCGATGGCCTGGAGAGCACCGTCGAAAGGGTCAAGAAGATCCTCGTCGGGGTCATCGTCTGCTTGGCCCTCGTCGCGGTGGTCCCCATGGCTTACCGTGAATGGTGGAACTGGCGAACCACCCAGTCCCGCGCCTTTATGCTTCATACGGCGCCGACATACGATCCCATCGATGTGATCCAGATCGCGTCGCGGCCGTACTCCTCCTCGGTCGGCCTCAAATTGGCTGGCCTGTTCAAGTCTTCGCGACGCCAAACCCTCGTTCGCTGGGCCGTCTCCTACGCGACGTCGGCTCCCGCGCTTTTCGTCTTGTCGCTCGGACTAGCAGGGCTGTTCGGCGTGTTGGCTCAGTACATCCTGCTGAAACAGGTTGAGAGCGCGGCTCCCGCGTTAGCTGCCGAGGTTGGGGAATTTGCGGATATCGTCGTTAAGGAGCTCACCGCCGCTTCGACGAGTTGGGCGGTGAAGACGAACGAGGCGATCAACAGCACAAATTCGGATATCAACAAAGAGCTCTTCGGGTGGGTCGTTAACGGAACCGATTCCCTGAACGACACCCTGACCGTATTCGTCGACAAGATGTACGAGGGCGTCGACAAGTTCTTTGGCAACACACCCTTGGCCAATCCGATCAAGGAAGTCCTCAACTGCCTCATCGGCATCAAGGTCAAGGGGATACAGAAGGGACTAACATGGGCCAACGAGAACGCCCACATCAACCTCCCGCTCCTCCCGAACGATACCTTCTCCCTGGGCGCCGCCGATTCCATAGCCCCGGAGGCATCCGGAGCGGCTAGCTTCCTCTCCGACACCTCCTCCCAGGCCTCCGACATGATCACCGACGTGGTCATCAAGCTCACGACAAAGTGGGAAAAGATGCTCACCGAGGAAGCCATCATATCGGCTTGCATAGTTGGCATCTGGATCCTCGTGCTCATAATCGCCCTCGTCCGAACAATTGCCCTATTCTACACCTCCGGCAAGCACCGCGGCGAAGCCGGCGGTCTCCCTCCCATGCCGGTCACACAACGGTCCGCTCCCCCATCTATCGCGAATAATAATGATAACGGTAGCAGTCGAGCTGTTGTGTCTCCGGTATTTCCGGCGTTTGGTGGGAACAGCAATAACAGCACTGGGGGCGGTAGCTCCACGAGTGGAGACAGTATGTCGCCTGCAGATGCGTACTACGAACCCGACGAGAAGGATCCGAATGCGCGCTGGTTGCAGGTTGGTGGCTCCGTCGCCGTGGAGAATTCGCAGGGGGAGTACAGACGGAGTGTGCACGCTAGCGTTCACCCTGTTTACTCGGGGAAGCGTTGACCTATCGTAGTTGGGGTATCGGGTTAACACTAACAATGCAATAATAAAAAAAAGCGGGTTTCCTTTCTTCCCTTTTGTCTTGTCTTTTTATATTTTCATTGGGATTGGTCCTTTTTTGTTTTTTATTCATTCATAGCGTCGCATTATTTTTCCTGCTTTGTTTGCATTTGTGCGTGTTCATACCCCAGTTGTTGTTTTTAACTCGGCGGACTGTATGATGGATCATGACTTATGATAGATTATTAATACCTTTGTGTTGTGGTGGGGTTTGTTAGCGGTGTGGAGGAGAGGAGAGGAGAGAAGGTGGACTACTGTGCGGGGAGAAAATGGTGGTGTCATTTGGGGTATATTTGTGGTGGATCGACATTCGCTGCATACAGGCAGTGTTGTGTGTTTTTTTTCCACAATTGGGGGGGTTGGGGTAGATAGTGCAGACGTTGTTGAAGCGTTATCTCTGCCGATTTTTTGTTGTTCCGGTTCAGTTAACAATATTATTGCTGTGATGAGAAGACCTTCGTCCTCTGGATTATTGTCCATGCAAGCTGCATGCAAACGTAAGGATGAACGAGTGATACTCTATGGAGCCAAGCCACCTCTCGAAAAAAGCTCGCCGGGATATAAAAGATAATGATCAAATCCCACAAGAGCCCCTCCCATCGAGTATCCAACCACCCCGCATACCGTACAAAGGAAAACTCCCCGGGAGAAAGCAGTACGTGAGGGTGTAGTTACGATACATGTTGGGATCGCACGTTGGTTGGGAGGGGTACTCTAGGAAATTTCCGGGCTGGCGGGTAGGTGGTATTTGGTCGCTTTGCGGATTGCATTTTTGTATGATATTGTGCAGTATATGTACTTCCTCTTCTTCCTTTGGGGGACATCATTTTTTTTCAGGGCGGAGTGTAGGTGTTTTTTGTTTTGTTTTGCAATGGCGTGAGTTGGCGATCTTATGCCATATATATATTTGTAATCCCTGGTATTATTTGATGAGCACTGTATCACACCCTCAAGATACACGATATACGAGCATTTTCCCTCCATTTTACAAAGCAGAAAGATGAGAGTTGTCAGCGGCCAGCCGACTTAAATTATGCCCTCCTCGAACGTTTCACTTTTCTCCTTCCCCTTTCCCCCCGACGAGTGCCTGCAAACACCAATCACGACTCGAGAGCTGTAATCCGTGTCTCTGCTATCATAAGTTGGAACCATTTCGGTCTCGGGGTAGTAGTAGAGAGCATACATTTGATAACATACTATCTTATCCCTCGTCTCGTAAGTCCTATCCCAATCATGCGGGGTCCAAGTATGATACCTATCCCGAGAGGGAGGAATCATTAAAGCCAGGGGGTATAAAGACTCGTTTGTATGATAGGGTCCAGCAGTGGGCGTGTACAGTATGATGCTTGTCATCAAGTCGATTGACATTGTAGAGACACACCGGAGGTCTTCTTGTACCGTCCGAGAAGACGCCCACACCATACCTTGTACGCTAGCTAACGCGGGGGGACCCACTATCATAGAACATGACCTGCGGTTGTGATACCCAAAAGTGATCTCGCCGAACGGGTTTAAACTCATAGTGTTCGGCGGGGGAGGCTTCTCCAGACAGACAGCCAACTACACCACCACGGGTAAGGATTAGCATTTGTATCCATACGCCTTTGTAAAATACCGTAAAAAATACTGTATAAATAGATACGTACATTTAGCCCTGGATGTAGGAAGGTAAAATACTGGCAGTCATTGAGGAGCGCGATATACCTTCCTTCCTTCTAGCTTCAACAGGAAGTATGTCGAATATCTACATGCATTGTGGAGGTGTGAACCCTTGGTTCGCCCGGTGGTGAGTCCTTGTCTGGAAATATAGTTTCCATAAATTAGATATGAGTTGGTCCAAAAAGTGAGCGCACATTATGGAACTATCAAGTTATGCATTTATTGGTCCTTTTATTTATTGTATTGTGCGGTGCAGGTTCCAGCCGTTCGGGGCTTGATCATATTGTACCGGTAACTTATTTGGCCGCGTGTTGGCATACTGCTCTGCAGATTTGGAAGGAGGTATTATAGCGTTAATGTAATAGTTATGAGGATAGATATTGAGATTATTCTAAAGAGGTCCATTCCTTTCGGCATAGGCTGTAAGAAAACAACATGCCGTTCTTCATTAAATAGTAAATGGTAAAAAGTCTCCTACAGCACATTAGTCTGATTGAGACAGGTTATATAGTATGTATATCTTACTGCTAGCTCTTAGGCCATGTTGATTATTGTTTCGTAATAGTACCATTTTCGGAGACTTCTCTATCATTGTTTACCGGTATTCATCTGTGTACGGTGCCACACTGTCTCATGACTATCAGAGGGGGAATCTCCTAATTACACAATTATAAAATTGTTCTTTGTTTTCTTGAATTCCCTTGTCTTGCTCTAGCTCTACAATCACCTCTCAAAAGTATCGTCCCACTTTCTAAAACCTCACCAAAAAGTTCATAAACACGGGTAATTAACTACAAGCCTATTTCTATGATAAAATATTGTAAAAAAAAATTTTTTTACAGAAAATTAATATAAGTTACTTTTTGTAAGGGTTATTTCATAATTTAATTATAATAGTAAAAATTTGATATTTGCGGGATCTGTACTGTACCTGGATTTATCTAGGAATAGTAAGATATGATGAAAAGCAAATCTCCACCAAAGTTATCCAAATTTATATGGGGGCTTGGCATTCCATATCAACGATCAGATAAAAAATAAATAGGATATCAGCTTTGTGAAACAAATAGATAAAAATAAATAAAAATCATAGAATGATTTTCCTTTTTAAATACCTACTTTTAACAATTTTGGATAATATGCCATAGGTCACCATTTACGGACATTTAATCTCAGACCAGGTATTCCGTTCTTGGGGAATCTTTATCTCGGGCCCATTATTGCAATCTGAAGCTCGTATCCTGGCGTCAGACGGGCATGCCCCTCCAAAGCGAAATACTCGTAGAGCTTTACTGCACACCTCTATTTGTATGGTCGGGCTCAAAACGGGATTTTGGCATGGTGGCCGGGCGTACCCTTATACACCTTACCGTCTCGTGTCATGTTGTATCGTGTAGTAGGAGCTGGAATCCAGGGCTCCCCCAGATAGAACGCTCCACCAATTTTTAAGCATGGTTGGATGCCCACCTACCCGGAAGAGCGGGGCCCACACGCGAGATATTCGGGATCAAGGATGCAGCGTCTCTTTCTCGGGCCGGCAGTGTTGGTGGTAATAAGTCTTTGACTCCATGGCTACTCGTTTTGCCGGTGGTAAACTACAGTCGTCTGCTAATCCCCCTGGACATTTTACCCGGTATGATATACCATTGCTTCGGCGTGGTCACTGGAAAATTCGAACTCAGCAGTGAAACGGCTCTTATGAGTGACTCTAGATGGCAATCAAACGACATAGAGTCCGTTTACCTACAGACGGCCGTCTATGATAGCATGGAGACAGCACCCACCGTCAAGGAGGACTTCACGGTTGTGCCCAAGCAGAGCATCTAGAGGTAGTTATGGTACCTTGAGCGCCATCTAGAGAGTTCGGTGACGGTTGCAACTGCACCTCTGGAGCAATGTCTCATTCCGACCGTCTAGAATAAAGAATTTGGGACAGTTGAAAATTGGGCAAAGACTTTTCAGCCGTCTGCTATAACACAATCCTCTGCTATGATGTGATCCTCTAATTTCACTACTCGAATAGATTTTAGACACAGAGGTTACGCAAACGGGCCCTTACCCGGCCCCACTCCAGTTCCCTACCGACTCAGTGGGATAGTCATCCCGCTATCCCGCTCACATAATATGCACCCCACCATCCCTCATGCAAAATGCTTCCGACCCCAACAACCTCCCACCTCTCCTTCGACCACATCTATGAGCCAAGCGAGGATACATTCCTCATTCTCGATACCTTGGCCCTCCAATCCCCTTTCCTGCACTCCCGCTTCCCGCAAACCTCGCCTCCACTGGTCCTCGAACTCGGTAGTGGCTCCGGCGTGATAACTTCCTTCCTCACAACACACTCCATCACCCTCTTCGGCCACTGCTCAATTACAACCCTGTCCACTGACATTTCCCCCCACGCTCCGAACTCTACAAAGCAAACCGTTGCCACAAATATAACCAAGGAGAGCGGATGCTTTCTCGGGGCTATAAGGACGGATTTAGCGACAGGTCTAAGACCAGGAGTGGTAGATATGCTAGTGTTTAACCCGCCTTACGTTCCCACAGAGGCGGTGGAAGACGGAAACGGGGGAGAGGGGTGGATCGGGGTTGCGTGTGGTGGGGGTGTTGATGGGATGGAGGTCACGATTCGGGTGTTGAAGGGGTTGGATGAATATCTGAGTGAATGTGGAGTAGCGTACATACTGCTCTGCGAGAGAAACAAGCCCGAGGCGGTGGCAGAGCAATTGCGCAATGGTGAGTATGGTGCCAAGTGGATCGTAGAGAAGGTAGGCACCTCTGGGAGGAAGGGTGGCTGGGAAGTCTTAGGGATTTGGAGGGTTATGAGATGGTAGTGTATTAATAAACCAGTACATTGCACACCAAATGCCCAGATCCAGAGAATCCGGACCACCCAATTGCCCAGCTGTTACCAATACACCACAACTTCCTCACCAAGGAAAAGTAAGAAAAGAGAGAAAAATGGTTAATCCCTAATCATCCTGAGCAAGAACTTTTCGAAATCACCATCAACAACCCCATTGAGCCTCCTCGATAGATCCGTCTTGAATTTCTTTTTGTAAACCTTCTTGACGCTGTACATATGGTAAGGGTCCCAATGCACCCTGACCATCCTGCTAATGAGCAAATCTTCACGGCCTTGCTGCACTAATGCTGTGATGGCTTGCTCGAGCAATTTCGCGTCACGGAGAGGCTTATCAACCGCCCCATTTATAATATGGAGCAATGTTTCTCCCTACTCATCCGTTAGCAGATATACGGAGGGGATTGGGGAACGCGGAAATACGCACCACGAGATTTTTGGAATGCCTCATAACAGCCTTCGCCAAATCCCTTTGGTGAGTGGCCTTGTATTGCCCCGCTATCTCCCTGATCCACCGGTCGCTCCTGTTGACCAGAATCTCAATCATTACTGTTTCGCCACCCCTTGCATCCCTCCTTTCCATGATCTCCCCCAACCTTCTGACGTCCTCCCTAACACCATCCATCCTAACTTCCGCACTTTCTTCCATCCTCACTCCCTCGAGCTGGATCAGCACCGCCATCCGGAACTTGTTCCCTTCGAGCTCATTACGCACAACCTTTTCGAGACTGTTCAGGTACTTGGCGTCCTTGAAGCCCGCCTTTATCTTCCGGGTTTCGTCGGCAGATTTTCCCATCAACGCTTCAATCAGGAGTTCGTTACGAGTCTCTCTTCGCTGATACCAGCTGTTTGCAAACCAGCCCTCCGACTCATACGGCCCCAAGGCCACTGCAAAAGCAACCTTCCCAAAACCGCCGTACGCGTTTGACGGAAAGACGGTCTTGATATGCTTGGCTACATTGACCTGCTTAAAGATTGATTTGTACTCCTGACGAAGCTGCAATATTTGGGATGGGGAAAGGGTTGGCAAGATATCTATCAGCGGACCCGTGGGTGGACGGGATGTACGTTTCAGGACCGATAGGAGGGCCTTTGCGTCTTCCGTTGGGCTGTATGGAGGTGTCGCGGGGCGTGCCGGAGTAGCAGGGTACACTGGTGTTGCTATGGGCTTATCACTCGAGTGTTGGGCTATTAGGGTCTGATGGAGTGATTGGCCACCGGGGCTTGGAGAGAACGCGGAGGGACCGAGTGAGAATGCGCTATTCAGTGAGTGGCCTGCGATAGAGATTGATCCAGATGCAGAAAAGAGTGGTGATGGTGAGAGCGTTGGTGATGGGAGGGGGGATATTGATTGGTAAGTTCCATGGTACGGTTGAAGGGCCGGGGAAGGCGGTGGTAATTGGTTAGGCTTATCGTTCTTGATTGAGAGGCTCGAGAATGAGGGTATCTTTAAGGATTCTAGAAAGCCATGTTTTGAAGGTGGTGGTGGAGGAATTGACACCCCACCATGACTGCCCGGGGACGCGCCGGCTGTGCTGCTGCCGCTAACAGGGGGGTATTGAGACGGGAGGGGGGGTGCCGGAAGTTGGAGAGGCGCTGGGTAAGCACCAGCAGAGCCACCAGCCTGTCCAGGGAAGTAAGACGGTGCTATTTGAGTTCCCTGGGGCGGACCCTGTGTTTCAGCATAATAATCCGGATTGCTATATTGTATTGGCGTCTCTCCAGGTGGGTACACCCCTCCACCTCCACCAAATCCGGGCGGGAGCGGAGCATACTGTGGGTCATGCGGCGGTGGTGCATTCGGCGACACTTGGGGGTAAATTCCCGGGGAAGGCGGGGGTAACGGAGGGGGACCAGCGTAACCGGTTGGATTCCCGTATCCTGTATACGCTCCCGAGGCACCATACTGGCCAGGAGGTACAAGACCAGTCCCCAACGACTGCGGATATGGATTCGGAGGTGGGTACTGCTCGGGGTACGGGTTCTGCTGATACGGCGGGTACTGCCCTGGCGGGGGTGCCGGCACCGAAACCGCCGAAGAAGAATAAACTGTTCCAACGGTTTAGTTCAATCGCATTATAGAAAAACAAACCACTCACAGCGATTTTGTGAATTCGAGCTCTGCCGTGCTCCCCCGGGTGAGGGGCTCACGGGCGAAATTGGCGAAACAGGGCTGTAAGATTCCGAACCTCCATAACTTCCCTGGTAACCTGCACTGATGCTTCCGCTCGCACTGGCTCCTCCGACGACACTATACCCACCCATTAATCCCCTCTCCCTGGCTGTTTCTGCGGCTGCTTCCTCTGCCGCCTTCCTATACCTTCCGAGTTCCTCCTCAGCTCCAGATCCGACACTGCTAATGTACGAGAACTCCGAACCAGCTCGTGAGTGAGATTGAGCGGATAGCGTGTTTTGATCAGTCTTGACGGTTAAGCTTTTTGAACGGCCATGTTCACGACGCTCTTTCCGTTCCTTCTTCGCCTTCTTATAGGCAGCATATTCGGGTGTTCCTTTCTCTGGTTTTTCTGGTTTCGGCATGTTTGATGAACGGGCAGGGGACAGAAGAAAGAAATGGAACAAAAAAACACTCCACTGGGAACCTCAGCAGTTATGAAGGCCGCAATAGTTGTGATTATTTATTTATTGTCGGGAAGATGAGCTGGAGTGGCGGTCAGGGAATAACATTAGGGACCCCCTCAGAACGCCAAGACGACACGGATTCACTGTTATTATGAGGCTCTGGATCGCGGCCCTGTCGGTTTTTTGATGGAGTGCTGATGCTCACTGTCAGGGATGTTGCTGATGCATCGATTTGAGGCATGTCAGTCCAGTCAGTCCAGTCGCCTTCGCCCAATTTATCGAAAAATTTATCGAAACCGTGTCCGATGCCAATGCCTGTACCGATATCGATAAAACTTGTGCGGCACGGGACAGGTCACACTTTATCTTTCCCAAACACGAATGCCCATGGGCCCCCGGGTCGATTAATCGGTACCGTACACATGTACCACCGGACAACCTCAAACATTAGTCCAAAATACCAATACCTGTGCCGGTACCACACTTCGTGGTAGCGTATGAGGGCAAGAGCTGGATTTCCAACTGAGTGACAGCCGATTCGGTGATAGCTAGGCAATCTACAACAGGGAATACCTGGAGCGCAATCGTGGGGTGTGGAACAAGGAATGAATTGGAAGATACCACGAGCATCATTCATCTATGATCCTAGTGCCGTAGGTGACGGTGTACTAATCTTTAAGGTTGGAGGTTACCGTAGAATTTGCGGTTAAAACCCAGACTTTGTTTCTATCATACTGTACTCGAGTACTGTAAGGGAGGGGGCTGGGGCCCTCCGAAATTTCTAACGTCCTGTGGCTGGTCGTTAATTGTGTTCATACGAACGGCCACCGGCAGAATGCCATACGGCACTTGCGCTCGTACTCCAAGGACGAGGCCACCCTGGGAACCGCTGTCTTCCGGTGCCCCCAGGCACTGCATCGCGTGGAACTCGACTCCCATTCTTAGCAGCGTGTGGGAACAATCCTCAAATTGTCGACCGTGAAGCTCTCGGACATATTGTCTAGCTTCCTAGGAGATACGAGATGCTGAGAAGAGAATATAGAGTGACAGAATATGATTCGGTGACAGGCACCCGGTGACATCGGAACACTTGGAGCGTACTAGCAGAGTGTGGGGGAGGTTTCGAAGTGGTGCACGGTGAGGACAGGACCGGCCATAGCATGCACGAGGTATCACTTGTTTATGGTACTGTGGTGTACTTGTATTATCCGAGAAGACAGGCCAGCCGTATGCCATTGTCATATCGTGTCGCGAGGATACTACCGTATCCCACATGGGACAGGTTCAGCCAGAAGAGGGAGGGGCACCGGCACTTGAGCTCGCAACGACCAAACGACTCGCGTGCATGTGCAACTGGTGGACAGACAGCTGCGAATAGGGGTTTTTGGTTGGTGAAGGCGCGACATACGGTACTATGCTCGAGTAATTCTTCGACTTTGGATGTGTTCGGGGGATCACGATCTGACCGACTATTTGTGGCTAGCCATTCGTCGCCTTGCACACAGAAATACGAGTAACTACCGGTGATCCAACAGTACCGTTACTGATGCCCTCCCGTGGCTCACATATCTTCCCGGAGCAGACGCGTTGTTGACCACCGGTAAATTTAATTCTCATTCAGTGGCCTATCCATGCTGGGTCGCACTACCGGTATCTAGCCCAGAAGGAGTCGGTCCTGTGCGTTTTTGGTTATGTTGCATCGCGAGCCTTACTTGTTGTGGTCCAAGCTAAACTTCAATTGATACTCGCGAGGTAAGCGCTAGGCTAGTATCGGTAGTAGATTTATTGACGGTTGCTCGGGGAAGAGTGGGGATTCGGGCGAAAACAGAAGGTTGAGAGGGGACCCCGATGGGGAGAGGAGGCTTCTCTTGTCTGCTGGTGGGCTCAGTCAGCGGTGCGCTGGTTGTCCGCCCGTTGCAGGAGGGTGCAGCACGCTGCAATCATGGCGGGTTTGTTTTACTCGTAATACTAACGTTGACGGGGAGGGAAAGACATGTCGACACATTGCTACTCGAGTGCTACTTGCACTGCAATGACCGGTGTGATATCTGTAACGGCTTGCGGTGCAATGCCGGTAGGTAGGTAGCTAGCTACAGAGAGCCCCGGTAGCAGCTGAGACTTCAACTTGACTGAAGAATGTAGCTTATTCTACGGATATACGAGTAGTTTGGTGCTTGGATAACTTACACGATGCTCAGATGCACTCAGCACACCATACACTGCACATTCGCCGCAGAATAGACGGCCATGTTGGAGGGGTTACCAGTCCTAGCATCATACATAGGCTTCCGCATGTACGAGTACAATACAGTACTTGCACTCTTCTCTTGTCCACAGACATTTACCATTCTCTCTTTTTCTCACGATAGACTCCCTGTAACAGCGCTAGAACGGAGGGGGAAAGCCCTGAGCATTCTCACCCAATCTCCTGCTCGTAATTTCGTGGCCGAGAGGCCAAACGAAACACAGCTCTGGGTACAGTACCCCCTATTCCTGGTCCTGGACCCTTATTATAATCCTCCCATTTCTTTCCTTTTTCCATCCTTCTCCACCAACCCCATCGCTCTTCCCCAATTGCTCCGAGCTAGCCCTTCCATACCCACTCTCCCTTGGAACGAAAGGGAAAAGGAAAAAAAAAAAAAAAACCCCCAAGAAAACTTCTGCTCTCTCCCCCCCCCCTCCCTTCCTTGCCCTCCCTGCCTCTTGAGTCTTCACCCTCACCCCATCCATCCCCCCATCGTCAATCGCCGCTGGTCGACACAACTTGTTCTTTTAGGTCGCTCATTCTTCCGGCTGGCTATTGTAACTCTACGACTCCTTCCTTCACGGTGTGAAGATTACGCCAAGTTATAGGAGTCCTCAGCTGAAAACGCGCCTTTTGGCATTCCACGGTATCGCCTCAGAACAATCCTTCTCCGCACTTTCTTCCCTCCTCCCAAGTAGCAAACCTAACTGCGAGAGCTTATCGTCGTCGCGCATCGGGCACCGTGCGAAGAGCTTCAGCCAATATAACGCTAGCCGCTCCAGCGATTTTGCTTGTCACCTTTCACAGGCCTATCTGCCACCGGACGGGCGGGTATTTGCGGGTTCGTGTGCAGGTGGGATAGTTGATTTTCTCTTCTCGTCTTCTGCTGCTCATTGCGGGTGGATATTCAACCATGTGGGTTCTTGAAAGCGTCTTTTCTACTCCTTTTGTACTGCTTGTCTTTTCCCTTTACGGGGAAATCGGGTTGAAGTACTGCTAAAGTTGACAAACATTGTGTGCTGATAGCCTAAGATACGTAACTTGCGGGTGTAAACGTCCCTCGCACAAATAACCGAGTCGTCCGAGATGGGGACCTCGAGTACTTCTTCCCCTTCCTCTGGGTTGCATAAACGACCACCCACACCAAAGTCGTCCTCCCCGCCCACGAGCTCGTCGCGGCCACCCGTCCCGGAAAATACCAAGGTTAAGGATAAAGAGTCTCATCCGCCCCGTCGTTCTTCCCTTGGCTTCCTTCGCCGTTCAAGATCTGGTGATCCGGTTCGCAAGACATCACCTTCACCCATTGTTGCTCCTTCTGCCCCAAAGTTGCCCGAGTACCCTCCGGCTCCTTCTAGAAACGGGTTCGTCAGGGATATCAGGGACTCTGTTTCTATATTCAGCGGGCAAACCATGTCGAGCTTTGCTGAATCTCCCCCTCCGGAGGGCGCTCGGACCGCCTCAAACGGTCCGGGTGGTTATATTCCTGGGAGAAAGTCTACTGATAGTGTGGTTGGTGTTACCGGTGGCACTCGTTATCTCAAATCTAGCTCAGTGCCGTTCACGGATGACCCTTATGCAAAGGAGGGTAGTATGGCGCATAGAGGAAGATACAGCTACGCTAGCAGCGCCGTGAGCACTGTAAACTCCCCTAGAAGAGTTAGAAGACGCAGAGATCCTACCCCTTTCAAGTGAGTTTCGCGATCTTGATCCTTATCAGTGTTGCACGTGAGTCCGTGATTGGACAATTTGTTACTTCCATTCTATCTCATGGTGCAACCACATGAGACAGAAGCACTAACAGTGTGGTAGTATTCTTGTTATTGGTGCTAAAAACTCTGGAAAATCGTCCTTTCTTCGCTTCCTCCGCCAATCGCTTGCCTTGAAGCCTAAACGCGGACATGTTGTGCCTGCTGAAGAGTTGCCAGAAGCGCCAGAAGAAGAAGACACCACTTCCAATTCAGCTACATCCACCTCTTCTTCTCGTAATGCGTTTAAATCTTCGTATCTCGAGACCGAGGTTGATGGTGAACGCATAGGATTGACTTTGTGGGATAGTGAAGGTCTTGAAAAAGGGGTCGTTGATTTGCAACTTCGCGAGACTGTTGCCTTCTTGGAATCAAAGTTCGAAGACACCTTCAATGAAGAGACCAAGGTCGTCCGAGCCCCTGGTGCTAAGGATACTCACGTTCACTGCGTGTTTTTGTTGCTCGATCCTGCAAGACTTACACCTGGAAACCATTACTATAACAAAAAGGGGGATGGTGACAAGCCTGACCTGGCCGGACTGGACGACGATCTTGATATCGCGGTCCTCAAGGCACTGCACGGAAAGACCACCGTTGTCCCTGTCATCAGCAAGGCGGACAATTGCACTTCTCGCCACATGGAGGAGTTAAAGAGACTCGTGCGACAGGGGCTCGAGCGCGCTGGGATTGATCCGTTGGAAGCACTCGAGCTGGAGCTTGCCGAATGGGAAGAGGAGGAGATTCAGCAGACTAGGGCCAAGCGGGGACCCCTCGTAGAAGCTGACGAGGCATCTTCATCTTCCGACGAAGATGCCCCCCAGTCTTCGAATCAATCGGTTACGTCTTCCATCTCAACTGGCCGAAAGGCTAAGGGTCTTAACAGCTTCCTTCCGTTGTCCATCATCTCACCGGATGGATATGAGCCCGGCGAGAGAGTAGGTAGACATTTCCCTTGGGGATTCGCAGACCCGTACAATGAGGCGCATTGCGATTTCGTCAAGTTGAAGGAGGCAGTGTTTGGCGACTGGAGGGCAGATCTCAGGGAGAAGAGCCGTGACGTTTGGTATGAAAACTGGAGAAGTGACAGGCTGGGAGCCCGCAGAGGCCGGTAGTTTTTCTTCTTTGTTTATGTCTTCTTTTCTTTTCTTTTCTTTTCTTATCCGTATCAATTTCCTCGTACAAAGAAAACCGTTCAAACCTTCAGAGCTATGAGGAGGATATTGGGTCAGTCAGATGGAAGGATGGAAATTTGCGCTTGAAGCGTCTTTTACAAAATATTCCTTTTGTATCGAGCGCTTGAGGTGTTCTTCCTCTGTCTGGTATTGGGGATTAAAAAAAGATGGGGGAAAGGTCTGTTCTTTACATTCTTTTTTAGCTTCTTCTGTCCTTTTTCTCTTTCTTGGTTCACTGTTGATTCTGGTGACCTTTGTTCCAACAATCATTGGCTTGTAGCCTATTTTCCTCCCTATCATACGGATAACATTAAAAAAATTATCCTTTTTTTTATTTATATTTTTATATTTTTTTATAGCTTCTTTTATCCTTCACCACTTTTTCTTTTTACTTTATTTATTTTTATTTTTATTTTCTAAACCGTGTGTGTCAAACAGATTAGGGGGCCTTCCGACGGCCTCCTTTCCTGTAATGTAGCTTTACCGGGATGTGGGGAAATCTTTTTTTAAGTTTTAAAGTTAATCTATCATATCCATACCCGGATCTCCGTCACCCTTCGTTAAGGTGGCCCGCCAATCCCACCCGCTCGCTTCATCTGGTTTCCTGGTTGAGATATAGGGCGAGTTACCCGGTATTCTGGAAAACCCACACGCGACACTCCACCCCACCGCATGCGAAAACCAAAACCAAAACCAAAATGTCTGAACAAGCGAGCAAAGAACGGGAATGTGAAAATGACGGGGAGGGGGAGAAGGAGGAGAAACAGCTCCCACAAACAGAATCCCTCTCCCGAGAAAATATCCACGTGGAGCTCACCAGCGCCCCACTCTCCATCGCACAAGTCATGGACAGGGTCAGATCCCCAAAAGCTGGAGCTCTCGTTTTATTCGCTGGTATTCACTCTTTTCCTTTCATTCTTCCTTTCTTCCCTCAACTAACGAAGGGGGGGGGGGGGGGTCCAGGAACGACCCGCGATAGCTTTGACGACAAACCCGTCGCGCACCTCTCCTACACCGCCTACACCTCCCGAGCCCTAGCGACCATGATGTCCGTATCCGAGGAGGTCATGCAGAAGCAAGGGTTGATCGCCATATGCATCGTCCACAGGGTGGGCGAGGTGCCCATCGGCGAGGAGAGTGTGCTGATCGCCGTCGCAGGTAAGCATCGGGGGGAGGCTTGGCGCGGCGGGGAGGAGGCACTGGAGAAGGTTAAGGAGAGGGTGGAGGTTTGGAAGATGGAGAAGTTTGAGGATGGGGGTGGGGTTTGGAGGAGTAATCGGGATGGGAGGGCTGGGGTTAGGGTTGATGAGGATGGTTGATGGAGGAGGCATGGAGGAAGAGGAGGGAGGGATTGCTATGATATGGGACAGATACAGTAATCCCTTTTTTCGTGGTGCGCACTTTTGCGGCTGGTTGCAACGTACAGTATCGGTATCATGCATGCCATTGACTTGAGAAAACTAACTAACCGAGACAATTGACTTGTACTGTACACACCACCAATCGTGCCATATTATCCAAGACAGATTTATGAGTTACCTGCACGTACGGGTGCTTCACTCTTCCCTTTCCACATACATCTCCCCCCACCTTTCCATCTCAAGCGGTTTGAGGTATCAACCCCAACGTGACCCTGATACACAATCTTCCCGTCGCTACAAGCATTTTATAGTCAGCCCTGCCAACCCACCACAGCCCACCACAACCAATCACTCGGCCCCCAGAATGGAGAAGCCAGAGAAAAGGGAAAGGGAGGGAAAAAAAACGAACCAGTATTACCCGGCGGCGAGTACCTAAACTCCCAACGATTCCCACTCGCCAACCTAACACAGATATGCCCCCCAATCCCGGCGCCCCTACCCCGGAATATCAACTCCCTCTGTACGGAGTCATCGGTAGCATTACATCCCCACCCAGCATCAAACATAGCCCTGGGATCACCACGACTGGTGAAGAACATTTTCGTAGTGTTGTCCGTGGCGGTGTACTATATCTCCCACTGCATCAGCCATATCATACTTTTTTTTCCTCTCCCCTCCGGGAAAGGGTAAGGGTAAGGTAAGGGGCTCGACCGACCTCTCCATTGATAACAGCCCTAATGGTCAAATTTTGCAGAATCCCATCCGGGGGTCGCTGTAGCACCCCGTTCGCTAGGGATAGGTTGGCCACCGGCGTGCCGGCTGGGGATAAATACAGGTGCTGGTCCCCGCCACCCGCCCGCCAGAAGTTCAGGAAGCGGTTGTTGATCTGCGGGTAGCTTGCGTTCTGCACCTGGACGGAGAAGGGGGCTGTGAAGGTTGGGGTTGGGGGGTCCGTTGGTGGGGTGCAGGTGCTTGCGGGGTTGGTCAGGAGGAGGAGGGGGAGGAGGGGGGAGGAGGAGGGTGGTTAGGTATGTCATTTCTTTCACTTTGGGGTGTCGCTCGCTCACTCGCTATATGAACGATCAGGAAGGAAGGAAGGAAGGAAGTGATTGGAATCGAATTGGAGTATATGTCTAGGAGAGAGGGAAGAGAAGGGGGGGGGGTTATAAAGTATCTCTTTTTCTACCCACCGTATAATACTTTTTTTTCTTTTTTCTTTTTTCCTTTTGTCCAATGCACTTGATCACCTCCCCTCCCGTCCTATACTCTACCCGATGTATCATACCATGCCATAGACCCAACAAGCACAGTACTCGTACAGTACTGTAGTAACCTGCACCGTCCACATCGCGGGACACCTCCCGCACCGCCAAAGCAAAAGCGCCAAGTACAAGTACAGTACAGTACCGATAGCAACATAAATAGCCTCAACCGGTACTACCGTACTCGAGTACAGTACACCGGCACCATCCATCTTCAGCCCCTCAATGACGATGATTAAAAAAGAGGCGGGAACAACAAGGTCCAACATTTATCACCCCACCTCGAGAGGGAAAAAAGCCCTCTTGTGTATCGTGTTCTGGAGTAAGGTACAGTTACAGTTACAGTACTTGCAGAGATACCCTGCAGTTGATATCCGCGTCGAATAGGTCTTCATGCAGCGACTCGGGTATTTTTTTATTTTTGTGGCATGGCGTGGAGTGGCGTGGAGTGAGCATCGGGTATCATACAGTGGGGGAAATAAAGTAAAATAAAATAAAATCGGAGTGTGATAAAATGGGCTGGATGGATGCTGTGCGATGGGATGCGATGCGGTGCGATGTGATGGTGGATGGGATGGGAGGCGGGAGTGATGTGAGATGATTTAGTATACCATGTAGTGCAGTACTGTACCTGCTTCGGGGGCGGGAACTAAGTTACTATATAGAATGTTGTATAGTTATTAGCGAGAGGGCTTAAAAAAAAAGGTAATTCATATGATAATATCTATGTATGATATTTGTAACTTGAGTTGGGTTTTGGTGGTGGTGGGTACTGTACTCGCACGGTACGGTAACCTGCCTTGGCGGTATGATAACCGTATCGTACTGTGAGGTACTTGCACAGTGACATGGTGGTTATCATATTATCAATTCATACCACACACACCCATCTCAGTTCGATACCGTACCGTACGGTAAGTTACTGCTGCAAAGGTCTCCATAGCCCTGTATTTTTATTTTATTTTTTATCATCATACTCTTCGCTTAGACACGGATCGCGATTGTGAAGATGGTATCGTTATCGCTGGACATCCGAGATCCTTCTTCTGTGGATGAGAGAGAGAGGGGGGGTATTGTTCTTGGTATCATACTATGGTATGCGCAAGGGGGGTGTGATATATTAGGGCATTACAGGCGCTGTACGGTACGGTACTGTGGTACATCCCCCAGGAAACTCGGACTCTACTATCCTTGAAGCATCATATCATACCGCAAGGGCGGTATCAGGTCTTGGCAGCGGGCGGGCGGGCGGGGTGATTCACCAGGATTTCTTTTTTTCCCCTTCAGCTTTTCTTTCCTTCCTTCTTTCTTTTTCCTTTCTCTTGAGCTGTGGTTGGTTGCTTGTGCCGTACCTTACCTTACCTACCGGTATATCATACTCGTACTGTACAGTACAGTACAGCACTCTTCCTCTGGTAGTGTCAATGGCGGGTGACTCTTATAGAGTGCAGACTCGGAACCTAATTCTGATACTAATTATCGTACAGTATCGTACTTACTTCTCGCGTGTGCGAGTGTCATACCATGCAGAGGGGAGGGTTTGTTTGTTTGTTTGTTTGTAGGGTCTTTCGTAGAAAAGGAGCGTGAGTGAATGAATGCACTTCCGGGCGTGGGCAGGTTGTGTGATACGGTACGATATGGCAATGTTCGGTCTCGTCGACGTCTTATCAGTCAGTGAACGCCGTACGGTACAGTACTTTGCGGTGGTGCAGGTACTGTACAAGTTCGTGCGCGTGTGTGGTGATTTGGGAGGCTGCCTAGTATGCTGCGCTGGTGTACGATTCATTGGAATGCCCGTTTCGGGAGGGCGCATGGTACGGGTAATCCATTCTGTCGGTTGTGACGGTGAGTGCTTTTTTCATTCTTTTCTTTTCTTCCCTCTTTTTCCTTCTTAAAAAAATTCATCTATTTATTAATGTTGGAAGAGAATTTGTTTTGCGAGTAGTCACTCGAGTATTTACTAGAGTATAATACATTAAATTCGGGTGCCCCTCCTTTCCCCCCCCTTTCCTCCCTTTTATTACCCATCAAGGGCCCCAGCCGGCGGGCACGCAGCCAGCGTATCCTCCTTGAAATGCGAAGCAGCGGTAGCCTTCTGGACACTCGGTTTGGCCATCGCACGATACAGGGGTGTTTGATGGGTCTGTAGTGGGGGTCTCCTCTGGGGGAGATCTGGAACTCCTCGTCATCCTGGTTCTGGTGCTTCCTGACATGGTGGGGACTGTCGGGGGGTTATCATCGGTGTTGGTGGGAGCGGGGCTCATGGTTGATGGCGCGGCGTTCTCCGTCACCGTATCGGAAGGTACGGTACTGGGCGGGGCCGTCTGTGAAGGTGTGACAGTGGGGTTTTGGGTGGTGGATGCTGGAGTACCGCCTCCACCTCCACTTCCACCTCCAATGCAGGCGAACGACATGGAAGAAACAGGTGTCCCCTTGTCCTTCGGCCCGCTCAAGTCCCATTCCGTGCTCACATACGGCCAACAAACGCCCTTTCCTGCAATCCTTTGCATGTCACCAGAGACAAAGACATCTTTAGCAGAGATTGCCTCTCCTACCTTCTTGCCCTGTGAATCTACCTGCTGAAAGAAGGTTCCCGTGAATGTCCCCGTGCAGCTCAATGGCACGGGCTGACAATGTGGGTTAGAAAGCTCCTCCCAGGTGACGATCGCGTTGGAGCCATCCAGCGCAGCTACTCGGACATTCTGGTGGTCCGTCGTTTCGGACTTTGTGATCCAAGTTACTTGGTCATCCCCGCTAGCCGCTCCGACATTGGAGATGGCTTCTGGGCCTTGAAGGGTAGACTTGTCCTTGGTCATCGAAATGGCTACGTTATGGTTAAGCCAGCGCGGAGAGGAGGCCGTGTAACCAGCGCCCATCCAGTCGTCCTGTGTCAATCTGACCGCGCCGCGGGATTGCCAGGCAAAGATATATGTCGAGGATCCGGGAAATAAAGCGAGGCAGCTATAAGAGCCAGACATACCGCCCACTGTGTAACACCATGTGTTGGAAGCAAGGCACAAAATAGGCGCGGCAGAGATACTTACTTGGTTCTCCGCTGACACCGTTGGTGGCGTTCTCGTTCGCGATTTTAACACCGGACATGTACTGAGTTTTCGTGTTCAACCAGATGGCACTTTTTGGAAATCAGCGTCTGTGATAACATGCGCCCTGGAATGCAATTACCCGTGATCCTCGGCGCAGACACTGGCGAACGGCGGAGCGTCTGCCTCCTCTAGGGCTATTCCCGTGTTGTGCGAGCACCCAAATGTGCTTGAAGCGCCATTGATGACTTTAAGCTCGCCGGCATCGGTGACATATTGAATGGAATCGCCGAAATGCCCCTTTGCGTCCCCGGTGTATGCTACGGTGCTTCTCTTAGCCCAAGGACCCGGAGTATTTGCGGGAAACTTACCAGTGACGACAACGTATGCAGCATATAGCCCCGCCGCTTCCGAGTACACCAAGTCACCGTTCATGTCAGGAGAGGAAGAAAGCTACACACGGCACGTCAGTGGGTGCAACCAATGTTTGCGATTCATTTCTACTGACCCCTTGCGACTCGTGAACTCCTGGCCCATTGATCGGTCTGGTCCATGCCTTGGAGCCCCCTTTATATCGGATAATAGTACTTATCGGGTGTTCTGTCTGCGAGTTGTCGAGATTGACCAAGACGGCAAAGCCATCGTTTCGAGCCACGAGACCGCCGGCTGGACTATGTCAGCGGTGGCACAGGGGTGGCATTGTAACATCAGCATACCCTCTCTGGCACCGGATATCTCAACGGGCTTCCCAACCGCTGCAAATGTGCTTGGGTCAACCTGTTGAATGAAAACACTGGAATATGAGGTCGAAAGGTACGCCAAATAGGCTGATTTTCCATCAGGCGATACCTAAGTCTGTCAATAAAAATGGAAAAACAAAAGAAAGAGAAACTCTGAACCGCAACGAAAGGGACTTTCGTACCGAAAATGGTGTCCGACGGTGGTGTGGAAGCCCAGTCCAATACGCAGCAATTATCGGATCAAACGAATTTCCCAACGCCAGAGCATTAGGAAACTTCTGAAGACTCCCGGAGGAGAGCTGGCACAGCACAGCTGGAAGGAATAAGAGCCAAAGAAATATGGACATGGTCACAATGTCCGTGGCAAGATTTGCGAGCTAAAAGAGTGAATGTAAAGAATGATATGGCACTCGTCCAGGAGGTTTCGGTAGCAAAAATAAAAGAGCGGAAGGGAGCGAAACTGGAGAGCGGTGGGAAAAAGGCAAATTCGTGCCACTCGCAGGCCCTCATTATATATATATGTCCCGCGGGATAAGTTCCTGTCGGAACTCCGGACGGTCTGTGTCCATCTAGGAGGCTGCGATCGAGTGACCGGGGCTCTCTGGTGACCCCGGGGCTAGGAATTCCCGCTGGACCCACTGGTGGGGACCCTTGATTTGTTCACTCCTGGGATAAGGAAGCGGGGAGGCAGGAAACGGGCCATGGGCTACAAGTACTCGTACGTATGATGTATATGGTGTAATCGACTAAATTTGTTAGGCTTTGGTTCCGGTGGCAGGTCCTTGTGTTTCAGATCGTTAGCGTTGCTACCGCTATTACCATACTCGAGTACAGTCGCACCACGATAGTGGACCTGCTTATAGTGGACAAACTGCTATTGCGGACGACTTGCTTGGGATCTTGAATGCCCCATACGGAATTTCCCGCTATAATGAGGTATACATTGTCGAGGGTTCTATAGTGGATTTGGGCCGAGTTTTCAGATGTTAGCCCCCCTGTTTCCATCAAAGCTCGGCCTGCTATAATGAAATGGACTCAGTGGACCAGTAGAAAGCCATCACGGTGCGAGCTGAATTTTTTGGGTAGATTATTTATTTCCTGGGATTCTCTATTGTGGTCCATCATTTCGCCCCTGCACTTCGCCCTGCACTTCATCTGGTGAGCCCACTCTCGACTCTTTCTAGACCTTTTCTCGCTAAATCTTATAATCATGATGGCATGCCCAAGATGTTGGTCCCGAAACCAACAAAAATGCAAGAACTCTGACAGCCCATACTGCCAATCTTTTTTTACTCAATTCTTTCTTCACGACTCCCTCCCTCCCTGAATTGATTGGAAGCCCGATACTAGTACAACGAAGTGAAAAACCTAAACTCTTGGCGTTCATTCTAGCGAGGTGGGTGCGACCGCACTAGCACGGGTAACCGGTATAAGCTTTTTTGGGATGAATCGTCTCTGAACGCTCATTATCCTGAAACACCCCGGGAGGCGGAATCACCGGAAGTCAATCGCGAGGTCCAAACCGCTGCGTTTTTTTGTTTTTTTCGGATTTGTTACCGGAGTGTCGATACCGTACTAGTACAGTACAGTGCAGTACTTGCACCAATGGAATTATACCGGTACGGTACCGGTAGTGCTCTTTGGGGCCACTTTTACTTGTGCTCTACATATTTTCGGTTACTTGATGTGGTGCGAGCTCCCTTCAAAGGGTTCCGGATCCTTAGCTTGACTTGATTCGCTTAAGTTTGTCCCGTAGTAAGCGTGTGATCCTGCGGCGTGGACTCGCTGATTGTCCGGGCTTTCGCGTAGGGAGGGAGGGGAGGGAGGGGATGGTGTTCTCTCGCTGCTATCATTTCAGATCACCTTACTATTTTTTAGGTATGGTATGATACTGTATGATGGCTTGTTTTTTTTGTTTTTTTTTCACTCTTTCTCGACTAAGTTACCTGGTTCTATTTAAGATGCGGCAATGGCAGCTCATCCTCAACTTGGCGAAGCTCGAATCCATCTATTGGCTAGGAGCCTTTAGCGGATAGCGTTTGGACTGGTCGGGGCGGTACCGGTACTCTTGCCTGCAGTACAGTAGAGTACCACCGCGCCGGGGGGGGGGTACAGTACAGTACCTGAAATTTGGTACAGATGAAGGGGACCCGTGATTGATTGATTGCCCACGCGTTCCCAGTTTATACAAAACCGGCGCTCCTCAGGTGCTGCATTTTATTTGGGTAAAAAAGGACCCTTCCTCCCTTGTCGTTTAGCTAATATATTTGAAGTGCTGGATATTGGGTTAGCGTAGATGGGGTATAGTACCGTAGGGGAATTCCGGCGGCGAGTGTCCAGTACTAGTACAGTACAAGTACTGTAAAGATGGCAGTTAATGGTGACTCCTCCCTCCATCTCCGCGGTCATTTCAATGGGGCTTGGAGCATTTGCCTTTAAACTGGGTGTGGTGGTGGCGCCGTGGGCTTGTATTGGTACTGTATCGGGAGGAGAGATTTTGGTGCGATTTCTGGGAAATAGCCGAGGCGGAAGTGTAGAGGTGTGGTGGGTTTGGGGACTATCGGGAGATGGAAGTGGCCCGGAGTACCGGTATATAGAGAACCATTCTTAAGAACGCTGCTGCTGCTGTGCTACAGCTGCTGAATTGGTATCGCGGTTTGAGGTCGGATCCATATGGCGCGAACTTGGCGGTTCATCGTGTTATGGGATGAGATGAGATTACTGGACTCTGAGATGCTATCTGGTCTGGGTTATAGGGACAGTGCGGTGCCCACTTTCACACCAGAAATGTCCTTTTTCACAAAGCCGGGACTCAGCCACCTATCCCGCAAATAAATCAATCCCATGAAAACTCGTAATTTTTCCTATTGACACAATTGGGATGCAGGAAGGTATTCACCCTCAGCAATGTCTGGTGAATGGTCGTGATTCCAAATTCGCCATTTTTATTTTTTTATTTTACCTTTTGGCATGGGGCTCCCATACGAACAAACAAACCCCCAGCGCCTTCTAGAACTGGTTGCACAAATTGGTGAATGCTGCCTATGGGATAAAAGGAATTTGTCACGAAAACTAGAATTCCAGGATCTCTAGTTTGTTTTTTCCTTATTACCTGTAGATGCGGGGTTTGATTTCCATTGGATGGGTCGTGAGGGGGTGCAGCAGGATGGCGATTTCCGGGAGTATGGTACTCGAGTACTTGTACTGTACGGGGGGCACTTGAAGCCAACCGGAAAACCAACTGGGGAATGACTTGCGAAATTTCTAGCCATAACCGCACAATTGGGAGGTTATGGCTTTATAGCACCGCTCAGAAGGAACCGCCATCTATTTTTATGTTTTCCGGCTTCGGTCGGGGCAATACCGGTATTCGTGGAGATGGATTCGTAAAATTTTGAATCGCTCCTCTGTAGTACTGCACAGCGAGTTAGTTTTGGACGGTTTTGTATCATACCTGTGTGAGATGAATCAAGTAAGAGACTGGGGGGAAGGTATTAATTATATCACAGAAGATAATATAATAGTGACGGACTAGCACTCGAGTATAGTACGGTTCCGGATCAAGATCTTTGGTTCTGTGACCTTTTTACACCCAAAGCATCCATTTTCACCCCCACTCAAAGAACCTGAATGCTAATGGGGATCTACCGAGATCTCATACTGCGTTACCAACCCGGTGGATCATATTCAGATCTCTGTGGGGCCATCGTGAATTGAAAGACATGGTGAAGATGTGAGCCAAGCGGGAGCTATGATCATCCTGCACCCGTTTGCATAAAGTCCAATACAAAATTTCAAATCACCTTTACACCGGCTGGTAATAAAGCAGTTTATGGAGACAAGTCATCGCTGTCAAAAAGTATCATCCCACTGAAAAACACGCCGGAATCTGCTAGGTTCGATCCTGAATGGATGGATGGATGGATGGATCTGCGGCGCTCGAGGAACCTCTGAGCTAATTGTTGCAAAAGTTCGGCTGTAGGTATTCGGGAACTCGGTGATTTGATATGATACTCGTACTGTACATGTTTCTTCAACTGAGATTGGTCGTGCCCAGACTGGGAATTTGTATGATAAGTTATGGGTGGTCGCTCAGTAGCAACGGGTATGATAAATTTACTTAGGCCCTGTTCGGCATGTTCCAATAAAATAAAAAAAAGGCATTACCCCCCCAAAACAACTCATCTCTTAATACTCAAAATAAGCTAGTTCGAAAGTGGAGATAGAGATGATAGGCAAGTAGAGGGCACACTTAGCTCATTCTAGCTAGTGGGGAAGAAGGTGGTGGGAGGACGACGATTGATTCAAGAGCATCACCGGAATACATGTGTTGCAAAATTAAATGTCAGCCACGGCTAGTGGGACGTTTTAGTTATTTTTTTTTTCGCTACCCCTTAGCGGGTGTCCCTTCTAATTACTCCCTTCGCCTTCGGTCAGAGTACTCGAGTAGATGGAGGGGTATCCCCTATCGGTATGTATATAGTACAGTACTCGAAACTACCATGGCTCCCTCAGACTAGTTTTGGGGTTGACCTGATTTGGGAGGGTAAGAAATAAGCTGTGTTAGGAAATGCTATAGTGCTCGGGTTGTTGTGACAGGCCGAACAGCGCTTTACCAACTTGTTTGGAAATTCAGATTTCGCCAGGCGATCCAGTGGAGTCTGTATCGCCGCCTGGTTCCCTGAGCTGGTGTGAGATTAGTTGGGGTAGGCATGGCCCCGTCGTATTGTTTGGCAAGAGGGCCACTTGGATGTAGGGTGAATAAGAAGCCATGACTTTTGGCAGAGCATAACGTATTTGACCTAGTTATGGGACACTTTTAAAACTTGTGCACAACATAAAGAATCATGAACCACAACAGCAGTAGATGATCAATTTGGCAGCAACTGGAAAGAAAGAATATCAGCATAGTTTAGAGTATGTAATATAAAATTTAGATTATATTACATAAAACCAGACTTGTTATTGAGAAAAGTATAGAGTAAGTGAGATTTTATAATTGTACCAATCAGGAATTTTTCAAAAATACACAAAAAATAGTAAAAATATTCTGTGACCTGGATTAATTAGACTAGATCTCTCCTTAAAGCTAGCAAGTAAAAGCATTGTCATTAGATATCTAGTAGAATTAAGTCATTAGCTTGAATAAAGGTGAGAATTTTTCTATTTTAACAATATTGTACCATATAAGAAAACTTGAACCACAATAGCTGTAGAGGTTCAATTGAGCTACAACTTGAAATATTGAATATAGATATCATGTAAAATATATCATATGAGTATTGTTATCTAGAACCTAGAGGAAGAAATGTTGTTGCAAAAAATAATAACACAAGTGAGATTTTATAATTGGGCAGAAAAGTAATTATTTGAAAATACAATAAAAATAAAAATAGTATTCTGATGTCAGGATTAGGTAGACATAATTCTCAAGTTCATCTAAACTACTGAAGTATATAGATTAAGAATATAGGAAGACCAAATTACTAGTTTGAAGAAAGAGAAAACTTGTTAGAGTTGAGGTAAGTTGGAGAGGCTAAAATAGTGACTACAAGATAAGTCTTTGTAGATTGAATGTTCCATTCTATTTAAACTGATAACTTAGCCCTGCCAGATTGCTAATCAATGTACTTTAATATTCTTACTTAAATTAAGAATAATGTCTATCTCATCCTTGCATCAGAATAATTTTTTTATTTTTCTTTTCTTTTCAAATAATTATTTTTTTGCCCAATCATAAAATCTCACTTGTGTTATTATTTTTTGCAACAACATTTCTTCCTTCAGGTTCTAGATAACAATACTCATATGGGATATTTTACATGATATCTATATTCAATATTTCAAGTTGTAGCTCAATTGAACCTCTACAGCTATTGTGGTTCAAGTTTTCTTATATGGTACAATATTGTTAAAATAGAAAAATTCTCACCTTTATTCAAGCTAATGACTTAATTCTACTAGATATCTAATGAAAATGCTTTTACTTGCTAGCTTTAAGGAGAGATCTAGTCTAATTAATCCAGGTCACAGAATATTTTTACTATTTTTTGTGTATTTTTGAAAAATTCCTGAGGGGATATGATGGTTTATGTTGAGAGGCGAGGGCGTCAAGAGTTATCGGTGGAAGAACAGCCAAAGATGGGGTTTCCACGGCTAGCCCGTGTATATGTGATAGATATCGTGGGTTGAGTGGGCTTAAACGTCGAACTCTTTATTGGTCTTAGTTACGTCCGGAGTCACTTTTGTTACAAGTGCCACCGAAAAAGTGAGTAGACACAAGCGATTTTACACCAAAAATGACCAATTTCACATACTTATTCCGGCACCAATAGTTGAATTAAAAATAGGATAACTTGATAGAATTTTCAGAATAGTATAGACTACTTGACATCTACCATGCTCCCAAATGAATTTAAATTCCCTGAGGAGTGGTATGCAGTTGAACTTTCAAATTCCGCCAAGACACAGTTTTCTCACCAAAAACAACGGTCTTGGCGTGATTTTGAGGAGAGTTTTTTTTTCTTCTTGTTACTACTCTTCAGAGAATTTAAATCCATCTGTGGTTACAGTAGAAGCCAAGTAGTCTACATTATTTCTGAACACTCCATGAAGTTATCCTATTTTAATTCAGGTATTGGTGCTGGAATAAGGGTGCGAAATCGGCCATTTTTGGGGTAAAATCGCTCGTGTCTACTCACTTTTTCAGTGGCACTTGTATGGTGGGGTGACTTGGCTTTCCTACTTTCTAGGGTACTAGAGACCACAGTACTTGTGGTCATGATGGTGCTGCATAAAGGCTAGTCGGCTGCTGACAAACAGATTCGCAACCATATATTGACGCATCATATGTCACTCGAGATCCACTTTGCTAGACATCGCTGGCGCTGGTATTATATGATACTTGAAAGAGTGTGATCCGACGGCGTCATGGTACCGGCGTTCTAAATTTTTCCTCATTGGATGATGGGCCCGGGTATGCAGTATGAAGCTCCTTTGTTGTTTGGAGGTTCTCCGGTTTGATCCTGTGGCATTCAGATTCTGTAGAGCGGTGCCTACAGAATGATAGGCCTGAGAGGGATTGGCTGTATTCTAGCCTGCTTTCCTGGGCACTCGAGTAACTGACGTAATGGCATTCATATGCATTATGACGCTGTTAGGCTCCTGGAGAAGTGTACATGTTTAGGCGGACGAGGAGTGGGAAGACAGTCAGGCCTGCTCAGGCGTACCTCCATCAAAATGTGTCGGGGGTACCAAATCTATGGGGAAAAACCAGAGAGAGAGAGAGATAAACCAATTAGGTGTTTTCTTCGATTTTTTTCTTTTTTCACGTTTCGCGCCTTAGGTAGGTGTTGCTGCAGTCACTCCGGCTTCTGCTCGCTGCAGTGCTAATCAGGATCCAACAAAAGAAGGTCACCTGGGTCCCGTCGCAGCTGCAGGTGTCGACCCGCAAGAAAGTGTCTGCCTACGAGTCATCCTTTCTCACAAACAGCCGCCTGCAATTTTCTCGTTTGCACGAGAGGCGGGCGGAACTTATCATGAGTTGCCAGCGCCGGGAATACCAATGTGAGAATGTGGGGTTATTTGAGTAGCTTGAATAAGACCCTCTGTTTCCCCCGGTGGGTAAGTTGAAAGGGTTGAGGTGCCGAGTGAAATTCCGTGAAGGGCTCTGCTAGTTTCCGGATATGGTACATATAAAGAGGTATCTAACCGTAACACTGAGGGCTGCTCTGCGCTGGCTGGATTCTTCTGCATTTGTTTCACCTCCCCTCCTCTCTTCCTTCCACCTGTCCACAAAGAGATTTATCTAGAACACGCCACTACCTTCTATCCTCCAACTATCGTCACGACTTAAACTTCACCTACAATCTTCTCCACGGTGTTGCTGACGGGCCTCTTTCAGCTACACCACTACTGCATTCAACCTGTTTCTTACAACCGCTTTCTCAATTTCTTTCTTTCAAGCCCTTCTCTGCTTTCCCTGAACCCTTCTTTACATTTCCCACTCCCGTTTTTCTCTATTTTTGTTTCCCTCTCCACCACCCACTTCACCGCACACAACCTTTTCTCCACCCCTTCCACCACAACACCTTCTTACCACTTCCCTTCGATTGAGCACTGACCACACTTTCGATCGATCCTCTTTCGCAAGGAAATATCAAAATGGTTCGCACTGCAAACGCCAATTCTACCGGTTCCTCTCCTCGCAAAAATACCGACAACGAATGGACTACCATCCCCATCAGACCTAAGCCACTTGTATCCTTTCCCAAATCCCCCGCCAAGCCAACCCTACACATGCTTCTCCTACAGTCCTACTTCCCCAGGGGTGCCAACAAGTGGATCTGGAACTGCTACCTCGACGACGAAGTCCTGAGTCCAAACCCACGCGGCCATGAGCGCTACACGCGCATTCAAAAGGCTTTCACCAAGAGCGGTACTTTCTTCGCTGGGCGCGGCATTGTCCTGCACTCCCTCAACATTTGCACCTCTCGCATCGTCGAGCTTTTCTTCGGGTCCGAGGAGGACCTCTGGAAAGCTGATGCATTGGCTGAAGAGTACTCTCGGGCCATGGCCGGGTCGGATGGCTGTATCCGTCGTAAGGAGAATACCGGGAAGATGGTCTGCCACGGGGTTTACACTCTCGATCAATTTACCAACGAATTCGTTGGGCGGTGGAATCTCAAAGAGGAGAGACTGCGTGAGCTTGAGGACATGAATCCTGTGTTTGATTCGAATGGTAAGAGGGTGCTTTATAGGATTCGATATGTGCAGTATATGAGCTCTCAGACTTCGAATGAGCGGCTATTGCGCGCTGGGGCGACTTGGGCGGTCAACTTTAGTGACTTTAGAGTTGCTGAGTGCTTCATTGATGGGCATGCAGAGTTTAACTTTTTCATGGATCCTTGCGCTGGGGGACTGAAGTGGTACCAAGAGAATCCTCCCAGATTCCTCCGTTTCCCCGACGACTCTAGGAGGAGTTCTGGGTCATCAAATGGCAGCGGGAGTGCCCCTGGAGCCGTTGAACCGGCTAATACTTCGGCTACCGCAACTGCCGCTGGAGCCGGCAATCGCATTGGGGAAAATCCTGAGGGTCCCGTGTTTACCGAGAACCCCGAGCAGGCTAGAAGCACACTGAAAGTCAGAGTTAGTCTCACCGTGTAGAAGAAACCTCAAGATCGGATTCTTACTAATCTCATCGAGTAGGTTGGGACCCCGGCGGCGGCCAAAACAGCCAGCGTCGAGCAGCAGATATCTGAGATTCAGGCGACTGCCACCGCTCTCGCTGAGGGAGCCAAGCGGACTGTCGACGAGAAGCCTGAAGTTCAGGCCACTACCAATGCCTCCATACAGACCGTCGACGAGAAGCCTGAAGTTCAGTCCACTACCAATTCCTCCAAGCAGATCAAGGATTTAGCGAACGTTGGAGCCACTAGCACCGGACAGCAGGAATATGAGACTCGGTCGATTACCACTGCTCCTGCTGATGGAGTCAAGCAGGCTGTCATCACGAAGCGGCCCGAGACTCAGGTTCCTACCAATACCTTCGCCAAGGAGGCCACGAACACGGCGACAGTCAAAATTGATACCATTGAGCATAAGGAACTTCAGCCATCGCAGCACTTGGCCAAACCCAAACCCACTGCCCCCATGGGCTCGGGAGGGGGCAAAGCCACGGAAGCCAGTTGCATTAGAGAAATGCGCGAATCGAAACCAAAGGGTCAACCCCGGGGGGATGGGGAGCAGCTCTCACCGCCTCTTCCTCTCCCTCCCCCTCCCTATCGCAAGCCAATTGCAACCCAAATTCCCGGCGGCCCCCCCTCAGACACCCTCAACAAGTTCTCACCTCTCGTGCCTCCAGCCCCTTCCGCCGGAGGCCTGAGACCACCTACCGAGGACGTAAAGCGCCAGTACCCTATTAATCCCAGGAGGCTCGGAGCGAAGATCACTCCACTGGCTAGGGAACACACCAGTGGTAGCAACGGCAACCAATATTCTGGCCCCGCAGCTCCCGTCTCTACTCTTGCAAGCCAGACTACTACTACTAAACATCCCTATCGCCAGAATCGCCAACCCAATCCAAGACAAAACATCGGTCACAAACCGGCTGGCGACATCACCGCCACCACCGCTACCGCCACTGCCACCACTGCCACCACTGATATCACTGATGCTAGCGCGATCAAGGGCGGGGCTACAGTAACTTCTGTCGACACCTCTCGAGTCAAAATCGAAAAAATCCACCCTCCGGAAGTCAGAGAGAGGCACAAGCTTGCAAAGCTAGCGGCTAGGAAGAAGAGGATGGCGAAGAAGAGGGCGGACAAGAAAGCGGCTACTACTGAGGCTACTGGTGTTGCTGGAGGAAGGGGAGGGGTCGAAGCGAAGGTTGAAGGGAAGGAGGTAGGACAGGGGGTTGCTGCTGGGTAGTGCAGAGAATGATTCCGGAGATAGAGGAGGAGGGCGGAGGTTGCTAGGTCTCTTATTCCTTTTTTAGTACAGTTCTTTTTACTTTTCTTTGGACGTCTGTTCTCCGTCTCGGCCGTGTTCTGTGCGGGCTGGTTCTGGAGGATGGGTTTGGCCGACTGGCTGGCCGGAATAAGAGGCGAAACGGAGCAGGTCGGCAGCCTGATGGGTAAATGGAGAGGGGGGGGGGGACGGTATTGACTCTACGTTGAGTGGGAGCCTTGTAATCTTTTCTTCTGTTCTTCTCTTGTGCTTTAGTTTCACTCCCTAGATTCATCCTCTTCCGTTCCTACATTTCTCTTTTTTTTCTCTCCCCCCCCCAATTGGGTTTTGTTAGGGTTATCCATCGTACACCATAGAATCGGGTGAATAGACTAGGCCATTCGCAATTCTGGCGCGTTTTGGCGTTCGATGGACTTTAGTCTTTGCTACTTTCGCGCTCTCGGGCGGGGCGTGCATGTGATAGTATTTGGAAAAACGTCGGAGGTCTTGGAGTCAACGATGGGGAGTAAAAAACGGTGAAATGGGGATAAACCGTTGAACTGAAAAGTTTTTGTTACTCTTTTAGAGTCCACCTGGAAAGTTGAGTCCGCAATTGTTCCGGAATTGTTGAGCTCGAGCCTCTCTCCCTCTGCATGAGAACGGTATTTCCTGCTATTATCAGGTTTTCTGCCAAGAGTACTCGTATTGAGACAATAAGTTGCCGTGAGGTAGCCTAAATTGGATTAGTCAAATATAGTGTAATGTTTCAGCTTACTTGTACCTTAATCTAAATGACAATGTCTACTGTGTAACTCTGATAATATTATATGCATCAAGTGATATGAACATAATAACATAGTTACCCAAACTATTACTATTTTATTTCTTATTTATTTACTTTACTTTTCTCCTCAAATGATAGTATTATGTACTCCTATATTCATTACAAGTTAGCTTAGAGTCTGTTAATATACAGAATTTAAAATACCAGCTAGTTACTACTAGTATAAGCCTGAGTAGTCCACATATACAATGTTGATCAGGCTCTAAGCTACTAAAGCTACTCCCCAATCAAGTATACAAACTATAAGGTTCTCTATTGAGGAAGTTTGAAAAAAAAAAAACTATAGCTATAAATATAAGATTGAAGTATTATTTCTTATATATAGTGCCAGCTGTCTATATTGTTAACCAAATATTTTGCAATGGGGGATGGCTTGGCCTTCAGCCACAAATTTAAAAAGTGTATGAATGTTCAATTTCTGGACCTCGCATAGTTATCTTTAATCTGTTCAAGTCACATATCATATTATTAGGTGTTGTTATAATAATAATATAAGATTTTGTATTAATTAAAGATAGTATATACTGGGTTCATGTGGCTTGACAATTCACAAAATACTCTAACCTTGCTTGAAATTGAATATAGGTACTTTTTTTTTTTGCCAAGCTGTCCCCTGTTGCAAAATATTTGGTCAACAGTATAGACAGCCAGTGTAATGGGTAGGGTCTCAGGGTCGGGTAGCCCAAGGCACACCACGGGAGTAACAGACAAGAGTCTGGAGGCAAGGTCTAGGAACGGGAGTACCACCGAAGCGAGGGGTACAAGGGGTGAGGGTTCAGGGGTTCAGGGTCAGGGTTCCGAGGTTCAGGAGGACGCGAAGTAGAAGAGAGTGTAATTCCTAGGTACAGGTGTCCGAATTCAATCTAAGTTTATTTATACTAGTCGCGCCATACATGGCTTATGATCTAGTCCCCCTCCGGCCGGGAGTTAGCGCGGGCCGGATATCAACTAAATACAAGATACCGATCCTCCGTCCCCGTACCGTTAACCACCCTGGTGAGCGAGCACCAACACCAAAGCTAAAGTACAGGTCCATCAACAGTCCGGCACCCACCCGTCCCACCTAGCCAGGCCACGGGAATCCCAGCACAAGTAAAAAATCACTACCACGGGCAGCACAGCTCCCGCCTCGCACCTAAATCCTCATAACAACATAACAAAGGAAATCCCCCCCACCTCAACCCCACCCAGCGACCAAGAAGGCGTTCCAGCACTGTCTGACCTACAGAGGCGGTATGAAGCCAGTCTCCTCAAAGCCAAGTCGAGGCAGGCATGGCAGCCACACCCCTTGCGCCGTATTAACCAACCCAGAAGGCTCCTAGGGCTAACCACAACCGTCACCATATCAACAATCCTGGGACCCCACAAACCAGGGTCCCGACAAAACACAAAGTAAATATAAAGGGGGCGACGACAGACCGTGAAAGTCAGTGGGGCCTATCTCCCACCCGTGGTATCCTACCCCCAACCAGCCACCAACATCCCAGCCAAGCAACCAAACCAACGAAACAACACGAAACCCAAAGAAACCCAACCCAGCGACACCACCAACTCCCTCGCCCTCCCCAAGACAGGACTCCCACTCTTTCCCACTGCCAAGGACCCGGACTCAGATAGCGAGAGCAAAACCATCACCACCCCCTAACACAACCGACAACCATCCAACCACCATCCAGGCTCCGGGGGGTTACGGTGTACCTCACACTCTCTTGATAGAGTCGAGGGCCGGCTCCCAGTATTATTTCTCCCGCCTAGCCCAACATGGCTCCGAGCGCAATGCCTCAAGCGCATCTTCAGGTCGTCTAATGTGTCAGGTGCAGATCAGGTCCGCCAGACCGAGCGCCCCCAGGCCCCGCACCGCAACACCGATCCAGTCACCAAGCCGCATCAGGCCGAAGCCCAACCCAGACCTCAGGGCGACTATATATATCCGATGCCATGACGGCCGGCCATTGTCTGCCAGCACCGCCACAGCCCAACCGCAGCCACACGTATCAGCCACGGCCCCACAGAGCCCACCGCCCGAACGACTAGCGAAGGCCATAACAACCAGCCAATTACCGAGGAAACATGGGGTGCAGGATAGATCGACGGGCGTCAAGCTCCCAAGTCAGGAGGACAGCCCCAGGGACACCCGGCCAAGTCAACCAGGTGGGATCCAAACCAAGACGCCCGAAGGCCAAGGAAGGACCACTTCGGGGGACCGAGGCCGCATACAACACGGCAGCCAACAGCCCACTCATCCACCCACCCGAGCAGCGTAAACCCAGGAAGGCAGGCATAGAATGTCCGGGCCAAAGGAAACAGGCCCAGACCAGCATCATCATGACGACTAGCCTCAGAACAGTCGCGACCGTAGAGAGTAAGCACCAGCCAGGCAAAGCGAGCCGAGGAATACCACACTTGCAATGGGTGTGATCGCCAAGACCGCCAACGCCCAACATAGCTATTGCCAAGCCCCCACGCGAGGAGACCCAGCAGCCAATCGCCCACCACCACTACAATCCCAACCGTAGAAGTCAAGAGAGGGGGCGTAACCACCAGGGTCAAAGGCATCCCCACCCAGATCGGGCAAGGAGGTAGACCCCACAACCACCCGTAAAAGCCACACGAATGGAAAACATCGCGGGAACGGGAGGAAACAACATCGTAGGATTCCGACCGTGGAATGTAGTCGACAATCAGGTATCCCAACCCATAACATAACAGGTAGGACCCGACCGTAAAAGTGTGATGCGATCGGTACGACGAGTTAAAGGTACAGAGAGGTCATCAATCAACTCTGTAGGCGTTAGTATCACTGGAAACAACGCGTGAAACAACCAAAGGGTGGGCCTTAGAACTCCAACACGAAGTATGGAGGCGCCCGATCCTCTCAGCGACAGGGTGATCCCCCCACAACAACCACTCCCAACCAACTCAACGAACGCGAAATCCTGCGAGGTAATGAGTACAGGAAAGCCGAAACATTTTACCGAAGAGAAGACTCGTCAAGCAAGAAAGAGGACCCCCCAGCCCATACAGCCTCACGATAGAGACGAACCAAGGGGTGGCGAGACAAGTACCACAATCAAACGAAACACCAAACAACGACTCGACCAACATCAACTTCAACCAGCAGGACTACTAGGCGAACCCAGATGACTCCCCCACGAGTATCAGAAGAAAGGCTTCATCGTCGCCGCGCGGGAACGAAAGAAAGGGTGTCCGAAGGAGATTACCAGATTGCGTAAAGAACATAAAATATAAGGGGGCACACCCCCTTATATAGCAAAGAAATCCTACATGATAACTAATACAAAGGAAAGTCCTTGGTTCCGCCATGTTCCGTTGCACGGCAGCGCATCCCAATTGCGTATACAAAGGAAATCCAACTATGCAACCAAGGAAACCAATATCAATATATGCAATGAAAACCCCAGGCATATTCCGTCTCCATGGCCAGGTGGCTGTGACAGCCAGCACCATAGTTGCACCGCGACTCATAGGAGTCAGCTGATGGATCTCACATGACTCTCAGTTCAAGTTATGAGTCATAGGTTATATGGGACTCATAGATATGAGTTACCAGGGTTAGGGTTTACCAAGAGAGAACTATATAAGAAGGTGGACCCACTGACAGCTAGTTAGTTAGTTTTTCATGTATTCATCTAAGTACTAGTAGTCACTACTATATCTTCTACAATACATTCTTTTACTATGTAACCATGTTATACAATTCTCACTACCTATTAGGTCTCCTTAGGTATACTTGCACTTCCAAGTACATAACTTCAATGGAGGTTAAGAGCTATGGAGACATGATGACATACTTACTATGAGTTTGTTCCCTGCTGACATAGCACACCAAAGAGCAATTGTCATATATACACTAACTCTATTAGTTTTAGTCTACTTTACTCTATTCAGCTTAAACAAAGTACCAGACCTTTTTACCTTACCTTCTTAATGGAACCTACTAGACTATCAAGTATCTAAGAAGTCTACCTTCAGGTATACCCTCCTGTTTCTATCAGCTAACCTCTTAACCTCATATATAGGTATAGATTCAAGTTGCTATAGCCCACATAGGTAGGATAATTACAAAATCTAATATGTAAATTAATATACCTTAGGTAGTAACTAACCTAAATATAGTTATTTCAAAAATTTTCACTAGCTGTTACTGCTCCTTGGGCACTCTCCTTATTCTATCCAAAACTAGATTATTAAAGGTTCTCTATATAGTTACTTCTTAATTTATTATTACTATCAATATATTTTAAAGCTTTAGTGAGGTGTATATAGTAAAAATAAAGGATTTCTCTATCGAAGCAGCCTGGTTTTTAACTTGTCTGATGGTTGGAAGATTTTCCACATCTGGGTCCTATTTAAAGTCTGTTATGATTTAGTATCAGACATTACTTTTAAAACTATTGTCAACTTGAAGCTTTCTGTCCTTTCAGTATTGAACCATCATTTCATCAATTAATACCCCGCCCGCCGCCTTTCTCTAGTAGGCTTTAGAATTTCATATTGTGGTATTGACCATAATAGTTAGTAATTATGAGAATCTGATGAAAAAAAAAATCCAGGATTTAATCAAAGAGAATGTATTTATTAATTTTATAAATGTACTAACCCTCTAGTTTACATGTTTTTGGGGTTAATTTTTACTTTTTTTTCCTTCAAAGCCTAGCCATGGAACTTACAAACCACGATTGCCAAACACCCCCTTAATCAGCGGCTGGCCTCCCGCGCGGTGTTAGTCCAGCGGCAATATGACACCAACCAAGTCAGGGAAAATAGCTCCTGTCTCCACGACCGAACTTGTGGTAAGACCGGTAAACGCCAGCGCTATAATACCAGCCGCCAGGTTTCCTGGTACAGTACGATAGTCGCAATATGGTGCAAGATGCATATCAATATTCTAGACTCGCGGCTCCACAAGGCGGATGGTTATATACGTGCACACATGATGCCCAAACCATATTGCTACGCGGCTGTCCTACAGTACCAGAACCGGCGCGTTGGTGGAGCGATGGGTCAGTCGGCTGGGACTCGGGAGCCCTTTTAAGTTTCCCTTCATCGCCCGATTTCCCGGATTTCCCGCGCAGGAACGTGTCGAAAAGGGCTACCCGGAGGGAACAGAAGGAGCCGGGGGTTGAGATTGTGACAGGGAACGTGATGCTGTTAAGGTGACTTGCCGGTACTCTGTGCTCCACATCCATCGCATCCAACGTTGGGCTAGGACTCCCTTGGCAATTAATTTAGTTGGCCACAACACAGTCATTGTATCCTAGACGCAGAGTTTACCAGACTCATTATCTGGCTAGTATGCTAAATCAAATAATTTTTTGACCATATTCCTCAGAATTCAACGCAATCGCCTTGTACCGGTACTCTGAACCTCAAGTCCTTTGAAATGGGGGACAGGTTGGGATACGGGGAAACAAGCCAGTCCCCCGATCGGGAAGCGCGATATCTCTCTACGCATGTACTAGTACTGTGCAGAGGTTGTATGTCAAAGCTGAAGATGTCAACCCCACAAGTCCCCAATTTCCCAACGATCCTAATATCATACCAACCCCATGTTAAATTTACCATAGAAACCCTTCAGTTCCAGCTATGCACCGGACAAGCTAGGAAATGTTGTTCCTGGGGGGGCACAACCGAGCAGGCGGTATATCTAACTCAACTACCGATATGGTAGTGTTGAATTAATTAGGTGCCCCCTATACAGAACATTCATTGTAGTACTATAGGTGGCTTGGGGGCGACCCGCGAAATGCGTATGGACAGTAAAGAGATTGCCCGTGCTCGAGCAGTGCCCATACCGGTAGCCGGCCCCGATTCAATTAATGCCCAGTCGCACAAAGAGCAGGGGGGACAATTTATGATGAAGCACTCCGCCCCAAACTGCTCGGGACCCCGCATCGAGAGGAGCAGGCAAGGAATTAATACCATACTATCATTCATGCCCCCTACCCGAAACAAGGCGGCCACATTAAGTTGGGGAACAGTACCGGCAACAGCGCCCAGCGATACCCCGGCCCGCCCGGCAATACCTTCCGCAATCCTTATGCGCGGGCGGGATCCAAACTGTACGATAGCCCCAGGAAACCTATGGCACCCTTATCAGTTCCTATTGACAGATATGTGGCAGACATCACATTATCCTATCGCGCTATGCGAGCACTGGCACAACCATAGAGAATATGGTTGGCCCGATTGTGCAATATAATAACTTGTATTCCCTGGTGCTGGTAGCAAGGGTTTCCATCTGTAACAAGCATGCTACCGTATACAACTCCATATTTAAGGTCAGATTTTGCCCGGTTAACCGAGATATTGTCTTCTGGCTGTTAAAGTGCACGTGACCCTGCAGTCTAGGAATACCCCGACCTCTGCTAAGCCTTTTTCGCCGGACACAGGTTCAGTTGCTAAAGTTAGACCTCTTCTCTTTCCTCCACCATCTTCACAAAATTGGCAGAATCGAATACAAGCCCCTTCAAGCAGCTGCCACGTGAATAGCCTAGACTTCCACGGAAACGCTCAATCGCCCCGAGCTCCCTCTTCCCGCGCTTGTCGCACCCAGAGAAAAATTTGAGGGGAAAAAAAAAACACCATTCTTCCAACTAGAGCTAATTCAGGAAAAAACAACGTTGATGGAAAACTAAAGTCTTTTGCTTTTGCTTCGCCTCCAATTCCATGACCTCGAGAAATGATCAAGCAGACCGAGCTGGCTTTATCCAGGAGCGATGAAGGTGTTTTGGCAATCAACCTCCGCGAGGTTCAGCGCACGGGCGAATTGGTACCAAATCGAAGAACCCGAACCCTGGTTTCCCCTCCCTTTTGACTATCCGGAGCAGCTTCCGTCCGCCGAGCAACTTATCTCCCCTGCCTGAGGGACAACGACAACATAATCAGCATCCGATCTTTGTCCGGCTGCCATCTTCCCATAGAAGATAATAGGTATCGCTTGTTGTAGCGGCCCTAATGCCAATACCTCGACGAGTGATGGTTGATGATTTCACTGGCACCCCCATATTTCAGGGTCGCCGATCAATTTATCTCTCGCCAATGTCTGCCGGAGCAGTGACTGTATCAGAGAATCTGCTGCTACGGCATGCCCGAGCAAAATATCGGTAGGCCGCTTTGTGCAATGACGTACCGCTTTCCTCGTTCCACAGGCCCGCACCAATACTCACACAAAGTATAAAACCAGCATCGGTACTTCAACCATTACTTCTCCCACGGGATTCCATGTTCTCATTAACTCGCGAGCGCGAGGACAGAGATCACGACAGCGAGCTTCTTGTCGGAATGTTTGTCCGTCAGAAGAAATACCCGAGTACCGGTGCCGGTGGGGGGTTGGGGAGGGAAGAAGGGAGCAATTAGGTGAGGGGCCAAGAATCAATAATCGAGACCGCAGGTTGGGAGGTTTGAGGCCCAGATGGTATTGCCGCGTGGCAGCCATGGTGGCGCCGACCTGGAGAGGATTCCTGGAGCTTCGCCCTACAGGCGAATAGGAGATCCCTATGTCATGATGGCTGGCTGGCCTAGTCAGATTTTGCCCCAGACGTGGACTCTACACCCTCCTATAACCCGACAACCTTTTGCAACCACCGCTACATCACGCGCAATCACTCTGCATCTCGCGCATGTGACGCGCGGAGACTACTCCCACACAAGATATTTTCCTCCGTATTCACTGGACCCCGTCCCTTCATCTCCCATTCACCAGTCTTCTATTTCCTCCTCCCGCCTACCGTAGTGGAAGTGATATAATATTATCACCACGCCACACCTGCTCGTGGAAATACCCCCCCGAGACATCAGTTCATGACTTCGTTAACCCGCTCCGACTACTCGAGTACACGTATCGCCACGTGACGGGAGTGGGGACGCGGTCGCAGGAATTTGTGGGGGTTGATATTGGGCCCAGCGGCCCTGACCGCATGCCCCTCGTATTGGACTATTTCCCCAACTACCGCGAAAATCTCCGGGCTATGGGTACCGCACGAGAGCCTGGTGCCATACCGGTAGGCTGTCAGGTTACATTATCTTGTTTGATTCGAGGATGAGCAAAGCCACATTATTTAAAGCGCTACGGTGCCGGTATGCAGATGCAAGTACGGTACGGCGCTCCTATACGAGTACAAGCATACCCGTAAGCAACCTGTGCCTTGCATTCCAGCATGATGAGTAATGCCTTATTTGTCTCGAATACCTTACCGGTACCGTACTCGAGTGCTCGTACTGGTATTGCCCCTCGAGAGGAATGGTAACTGTTCTAGGGTGGTTGCGCCCGGCGTCTGTTTTCATAATTTTGGAACCCATCAACTGTTAACCGTCAACCCCTCAAACAGACTGGTAACTCTCGTTTTAAATTACAACTGGGGAAATTTGAACTGACCTACCGGTACCCAATCCGCATCAAAGGGGAAAGGATTTCTCGAAATAAGCTCCACAACACGGGCTATAGGCAATCTATTGGGCAATCCTGGACGATCTGAGACAGTTGATCACTGCCTCGATCAAGGTCCCATGCTCATTCTTGGCGCTACTCGGCGTCCCTGTCACAAGCGCTCTACCAACCACCTGACGGAAGTAACGGGTATAGGTTATAAGTATCTGGTCGAACCTGGCGATTTGATTCAAACATCAAGGGTCGCCGTTCCCAATATTCATTGCCCCCCCCAAAAAAATCACCGAGGATCGAACTTATTGCACCATGCATATTTCACGGACTTTATTGACCGTCCTTCTCGCGGCGGGGACAACATTTGGAGCTCCAAATATCCCCCTTGAAGCAAGGAAACGACAGACCACCAATGCGCGCACCGACGCTATCAAGGAGGCCTTCCTACACTCTTGGAATGGGTATACCAAGTATGCATTTGGGTTCGACGAGCTTTCGCCAGTTTCCAACAAGGGCACAAATTCTCGGTACGCCGGCGCCAGCATTTCCCAGGCGTACTTAATATCCGGTAGAGCTGACGGGTGATGCAGTAATGGATGGGGGGCCTCTATTGTCGATGCGATGAGCACAGCGATCTTGATGGGGCTGGACGAGGTTGTTTTGAGACAACTAGAGCACATCAAGGCAATAGATTTTACCAAGACCAACACTACCGTTAGTCTTTTCGAAACCACTGTATGCGCGCGCAAAAACCTCGAGATCTCCTTGAGGGGCAACTACTTACCAAGACCAGATCCGATACCTCGGAGGTCTCCTCTCCGGCTATGACCTTCTCACAGGCCCTCATAAGGATCTTTTGCCTAGTGTAAGATTCCTCCGCACAAAACTTCATCTCTGCCGGTTGTTATATTAACACAAGTATAGAACTCGACCGGGCTGATCAATGCTCTCATCGACCAGGCAGTTATCCTGGCGGACACTCTCGCCTTTGGCTTTGATACAGCCTCCGGCGTGCCCGGCAATAATCTCAATTTCACGAGTAAGTTGTTCACCGACACCACCAACGGTATCGCGACAACGGGTACCCTCGTTCTCGAGTGGACACGCCTGGCAGATATCACCGGCAATCGAAAGTACGCCGAGCTTTCCCAGAAAGCCGAGTCCTACCTTCTGAGGCCGACCCCACCTCTAGGCGAACCATTTCCGGGATTGCTCGGGACGGATGTAGATATTGGAACCGGGGAATTCATCAACTCTCGCGGGGGGTGGGGTGGCGGCACCGACTCTTTTTACGAGTACCTCCTCAAAATGTGGGTTTACGATAAAGGGAAATACGAATTGTATAAGGAAAGGTATGGCAGGATTAAACCCTCCCTCCCCGCTAAACAGCCCAATCTCCTCAATAATTATACAAATCTTTGAAACGGCCATTCCCTGACCACCCGCCACCACAGATGGATCGCAGCAGCAGACTCCACAATAAAATATCTAACCAGTCACCCGCAATCCCGCCAAGACATCACCTTCGTCGCAGAGTACGAAAACGCACAAAACCTATCCCTAAACCAGGGCCACCTAACCTGCTTCATCGGCGGGAACTTCATCCTAGGCGGCCAAGTCCTCTCGAGGAAGGAGTACACGGACTACGGCCTTGCCCTAACCTCCGGCTGCCATCACACCTACAACAGCACGCCCTCGTCCATCGGCCCAGAGCGCTGGTCCTGGGACCCGCGAAAAGTGCCGGCCGCGCAGACCGACTTTTTCGCCCGCAACGGCTTCTACACCACCGCTGCTTACTATGACCTCCGGCCCGAGGTCATAGAGTCCTACTACCACGCCTTCATCGCCACCGGTGACGAGAAGTATAGGAAATGGGCATGGGATGCCTTCCTGGCTATCAATGCCACGGCCAGGACGGCCTCGGGCTTCACTGCCGTGTCCGACGTCGGCCAGGGGAATGGCGGGGCAAAGTATGACAACCAGGAGAGCTTCTGGTTCGCAGAGGTGCTCAAGTACCTGTACCTGATTTTCGAAGAGGGCGGAAAAGTCGGCTTTGTCAAGGGTGCGGAGCAGAAGTGGGTATTCAACACGGAGGCGCATCCGTTCAAGGTACGCAATTGAGATCGACCCCGCCGTAAAACGCCGACCGGTAGGAGGGAATTGGAAAGGGGTCGTACTTTTTTTTGTTTTTTTTTTGTTCGTTTTTTGCCCGTTCCATTTGAAATTCTTGATTCTATCTATCCCTTTCTAGGCAAAGAAAATAGACTTAGAAAAGAAAGGAAAGAAAGAAAGCAACTATGTACCATACACCATCATTTCTCATAACACGTACCGTACATTACATGGACTAGAACCCCTCCCTCCTATCCTCCTCCCTCACTCTTCCTACTTCTACCCTCACCCCACCCCATAAATTCCAATACCAGCACTCTAACACCCCACCCCCAGGTCCTCTCCCTTCCCACAACCTCCCCATCACCTTCAGCCCCGAGCATTGGAATCACCCCCGCGCCGACAAGCCCCAGCAGCCCAAACGCTGCCCCTTCATTCTCGTCCAGCGCACTGACCAGCCACAAGCTAGCGTTCCTTGTGGCGTTCTGGGGATTGGCCGTGGCGTTGTACTTGTAGGAATGTCCCGGAATTGGGCTCTGTGGAATTTTTGGGGTACGCTGCTGTATCCGTCTACTTGTATAAAGCAGGGGTTTGAATGATCGACCGATCTGCGTACAAGTACATAGGGGATTCTATGGTGCGGTACCGGTACTCGGTGTCTTAGGGTACTGCCCCCATATTTACTTGTATTACCGGTATGTTGCTTGTACTCGAGTACTTGTAGAGATCATACCCCCCCCCCCTTTCGGCGTTTTCTTTTTTGTTCGTTTTTTTGTTTGTTTTTGTTTTTGGAGGTTTATATTAGAAGGGGAAGGAGGGAGGTGGTGGTGGTACTCGTACTATACAAGTAGTGGTAATGATGAATGAATGAATACGGCACACGTGCGACACAAACACACATACTACCGGTACTGCTACTCTATGCTACGGCAACGAATTCTAACACAAGTGGCCTGTAATCATCGCAAAAGTGAACAAAATAAAAAGGCTTCCCGTCCTGAAGCGAATGAATGATGAATACCGGTATACAGTCTCCAAGTCCCACCACTACACACGTAACTTTACTTAAACCAGCAAGAAACCCACAATTCTCGACAAACTCGCAATCGAAATATATATAAAAAAGCAAACAAAAAAAAGCAAACAAGAACGCCATACTGAACGCCCACAATGACCGAAAAAAAGTGAAGAAAAAACAATCAAAAAGCCACCACCCCCCATCAATAACTGGATACCGGCATCCCCTTTCCACCTCTCTCCTCCCAATGCCGGCACGGATTCCTCTCCCGCCGGGCGAGCCCCCTCGGCACAATGGAGCCCACAAGCACACTTTCATGGCCAATAGGCTCGTATTCAATCCTGTACAAGCACCCATCCGGGTTCTGCAGTAGATACTCGCACACGTCCTCGGCGAGGTAGTATCCACGACGAAGGTATGCGCGGGGGATGAAGTTTATGACCCAGTGTGCCGGTGGTGACTGGAAATGGCGGTTCCAGTCTGCTAGGGACTTTTGTAGATATTTTGAGTTTGGTAGGAGGGGTTTGAGGGATTGGAGGGGTGTTAGTGTTGGCCCTGTTGAGGAGGCTTCGCTGTGGGAGGGGTCAATCTTAGGATACGATATATCGGGAGGTACGTGGGAGGAATACACTTCATATATGCAGCATCCGTTCCTATTATTCTTAATCCGCAGGGTGCGTTCCCTTCTCCGCTCCTCTTCAACCGGGAGCGTGCACCCCACCGATATCGAAAAGTGGAAGCCGCTGAGAATGCCCTTGACCCGGCAGCGTATCTCGTCCATGTAGCGTCCCGCGCATCCGGCCTTGACAGCCACAGGTGTTGCGCGGCTGGGGCCAGAAGGGATCACCGGTGCTCCAGCAAGACTATGCATTGATCTCCCAGCGTTTGTGGAGAAGGTCTGGATGCTTGGAGCGGATGGGGTGACGGCGTATTGGAAGCCTGCAGGGAATTCCTTGATTTTCTGGTAAGAGTCCCGGGAGGACTCTCTGATACCCCGGATAACCTTGTCCGGTGAGGTCGTCAAGGAGATCTTCCTACTATGGGCTGAACGGGAGGCTTGAGTAGTGGTGTTGGAAATGTTGCGGTCGTGCTTGTTGCGCTGGTTCCGGTTGTGGGTATTATAGGGCATTGAGAGAGGTGCGGGCGATGAGGGCACCCGCATGGACTTGGGTGCCGCTGGAGGCGGACGTTGGGGTGGTTGCCGGGGTGGTGGTGGGATCGGGATCGTTGGAGGTGGTGATGGAGGAACGATTTGCGTGCCCGGGTGAACATCGGGGATCCCCTGTGTCATTATGATTTTTTTTTTACCCTATTGCGGGTTGTTCGTTTCCTTTTTGAAATCGTGAGGAATTCCAAGTTCCTGTAATTGTAGAAAGAATGTGAGCTTTATAGAATAAAATAAAATAAAATAAAAATAAAAAGTTTGGTATGCGGTAAGATGTGTTATCGGTATTAAAGAAAGTGGAGAAGCGAAAAGGTCATTTGGTCATGGTCATGAGTACCGATGCTGCAGTACTAATAGCAGAGAATAAACGAAAACCGTTAAGGAAATTCACAGGCAAAGCAAGCAGGTGAGAAAGGAAGGTAGCCTGGGGAGGGGGACGGCCCCAGGTATATCATATTCTCCAAGTGACTCTCCTCCTCCTCCTCCTCCCCCTCATACTGTACTCCTCCACCACCACCACCACCCTTTGGTGTCCCAGACAATACCCCCAACAAGAGCAGGGGGGGACGGGCGTGGAGAGAAAGAGGGAAAGGATAACAGTGCAGAAAGCAGGAACCCTTCCTTTCTGGCGCTACTATAGCCACCACTTTGTCCCCAGAAAACAAACTTACCGAGAATGCCCTAGCCCCTCTCATCATCTTTCCCAATTCTTCCTCCCCCCCCCCTAGCCCCCGTGCCATGCGCCATTAAGACGTGCGTAAAAGGTTGAAAAAAAGGGCTCTTTCGTTTTTCTGCGGAATAGCCGGATGAGTAGAATTCCCGCTTTCGTTGCTCGGACCCTTCGTTTCTTTTTTTCCGTGATGATGGTGTGTGGGCGTGATCCTGGTCGAGCTGACACAGGTACTTGTAGATTGTTGGGGTATGATACCGGTATCATGTATGATACGGTCCGCTAGGCAAGACGATATGCATGGGAAGCGAGAGAGGGGGAGAGATAGATAGCGTTAGGTTAATGAAGGGTGCAGGAGAAGTGGCCGATTCCGTGGGACCGCGATGGTGGAAAAGGAATCGACTCTTGGAAGTAGAATTAGATCGGAATTGAGCCCTGAGGGGTGGCATCGTGGAAAGGGGGAGGATGAAAAGCGGAGAGGGGATGCTCACCCCGTACTCAAGTACAAGTACCGGTACCCGTATACAAGTAGACGAAGCGTTAGCGAACGAACCAACGAGGATGATACATACAGTGCGGTCGAGTTTAAGGAGGACAGCCAGGGTGACAACTCCCATAGGTACCGGTACTCGAGTACCACCATATCACACCAGAGGACTGACTGAGTGGCCAACATCGGCTCGGCTGAGCGAATATCTTACTGTGCTCGGGTACGGTACGGTACTTGTACGAGTACGGCAGAGCACTCCAAAATCGAATGACCCTCTCGATTCGTCCGAACCTCCCCCTCCACTGAGGCTCGATGACGCAGATCTTGCCCGCCGTGAATCTTCCCTCGTCTGATCCCCCCCCATTCCCCTGTTCAATCCCGAGTACTTTGGTGGAACCCATCATGATCACGAAGAACAACCATCCATAATAAGTTACCGGTACTGTCTATTCTGCACACAAGTACATACCGGGTATACCGGTGTGTCGATTCGTTCACCCGTGGTACAAGCTCAATGTCTAATGCCCATTCCACGCGAGCTTGCATCGAACAGAGGGAGCCCAGGGCGCGCGCGACACATGCACTGACAAAGTCCTTCCACTTCCGCCAAACAAACGTCAGGTCCACCACCGGATATGGAAAGATACGTCTTTTGCGGGCGGGTAATGGTTGAAGCAAGGAAGCGCGCTATTGGAATACTCCATTTCATCCAACCCCCTGCCGGTACTGTACTCAGTGGACCTCATGCTACAAATGTTGTCTGTCGTGTAGTGGATTTCCTAAAGGTTGAGAAAGGGGGCCCAGGGCTCCCCGAGTCCTTCTTTTTCTCTTGGAGCTCGATCGGGCAATACCCCTCACGGGCGACCGTACCGTACTGAAAGTTCCGCCCTGAAGGACCACATGGACCGTGAATTGTCGAGTTTAGTGGCTCACCAAGTGCTGATTAGACGGAGAGCTCCGCGGGGAGGGGGGAAATGAAGGAATTCGTAGACCCTTGCCTAGCGAGTTCCCCCACAGTCTTTGGTACTGTAGATCTACTCGAGTACCGTACAACAGTACCATTCTCGCAGTACTGTAAATGGCAGTACCGGTATCATATTGTGCTCACGAGGAGGGCATCCAAGGAGATGCGCTCGCTCGTTTAAGCGCCAGATCGATTACCGTTGCACCATTGTCAACGGCTGTTCTGGAAGGCGCGTGGAAGGATGAAGTCATCATCTACTGCACTCTTCCTTCGAATGGCCTTTTTGGCAATCCTCCCAGGGTGAGATGGTGGGGTACTCGTGCAGTACTGTACGGTACCGGTACCGCACTTTGCTCAGGCCGCCGGTACAAGGTCCGGCAGGAAGTCATGGAACGGTTACATGAGGCTAACCAGCCAAATATATCCCTGTCTGTTCCCCTCAATGTGTTCCTGCCCTTGTAACTGGCAGAGTGTTGAGTGTTGAGTGTTGACCGGGTTGTCATCGGCTGTCACTCGAGTTTGCACTTTTCTCCCACGTTCTTGTGAGCTAGCCGTCTTGAGCGACTCGGGCGCTCACGTGTGGCGTCTCGGTCGAAAGGTGATTGGCACAGTACGAGTATTAGTGCGAGCACTGTACCATACGGTAAAACCCCTCGCTAGGGGGAAAATGCCTGTGGTTGATTGAAGGTCCTTCTGTGAACGGCTGCGAATTTCTTGTTCCCAGCGTGGCGGGATTGAAGTAAGGATATGTTAGCGGATATTGGGAGGACCGTGGTGCAGTACCGTAGATTGCGGCTCGAGAACCGCTAGATGAGTGGTTGGGCTGCACGGATTGGATGCGCACAAACACCAACACCAACAGCGAAGAATTTGCCTTTACCGTCTGTCTTGTTAGGGAGTTAACGTGACTATGCATCCGTGCCGCCTTTAGGCTTCTCGCCTGTTGAAATGCACTCGTAGGAAAGGGGGGGGGGGGGGAGGACAACATCACTGTAAGGTCATGGACCTTTGTAGTATGATAGTTAGCACCCTATTAGTACTAATACTCGTATGATACTTCACCTAAAGAATCTTGCTTGGCTCCGATCCCTAGAGAGAGTATTTTCAACAAAATCTCCGATGAGGGTTACGGGTCTAATAGATGGTAACCTAGGTAGTTCTCTACGTGTTAATCGAGAGAAGGAAAAGACATCTTGGAATCGGGGAATTTCTGGGACATGCAAATCACGGTGAATTTACTTGGCATAGATAGTTAAGGGACATTTGCCAAGGGATCACCCTGTACTGTACTGGTATTAAGGTTAAGCTTTGCATGATATGATATGATACCCGTAGATTATGGCGACGTCCCCTTACTGATCCAGGATGAATGTTGGCATATTCCGTCTACGGAGGTCCCTCACCGTGGGTTATCCGTTTCCTCACTATCATAATGGCATTTGTAGAGTTATCATGATTTCTACTGTTCCTCCGGTGCTCGGCAATCTACAGTATAAGGAGGTAGGTGTCTTACTGTCTTCAATAGTTACAATACTGTAGAGTACCTCGTGCTGAGGCAAGGGAGCACTGTGCCAATACTTTTGATATCCCTTCCATCAACTAGCGTGCAATCACGATTCTTCATACCACCCCGCATCAATATCACGGCACTCATTTACGACAACGGCTCTGGTAAGCCCCCCCCCCCCCCCCCTCACACTCATTTCACCCGACGGGAACAGAATAAAGTAGAATAAAGTGAAATGGGATTCGTACTCCCTTTCACCCTTTCCCCCCTATCACTCCTCTTCTCCCCGATCCGTAGGGTTAAGGCTTACGACAATGTCTGCCCGACGACCACGACCTACACCATGATAACCCCGTCGCCTACCCCGTCACCCGCCGATTCCAAAAAGTGCACACCTGCATCCCGGAATACGACGTCTGCAATTCCGACAATTCCGACTGCACAACAGTGTACTCTACGCGGACGTATAATTGGTGCTCAGCGGTGGTGGAAAGGTCGTCGTCGCTGCCGGCAATGTCCTGTGTACAAGCTACCGTCACCAAGTAACTTATGCCGTTTCGTACGGGGATTGCAGCAAGGGCAAGTACTCCCGTGTCCGCATTGAGAGCTGTCCGGAAGGCCATGATCGGGAGTGCGAGGTTTGGTACGAGAAGTGGGTGGAGCAAGTCTACGAGGAAGAGGAAGTGGTGCGCATCGTGCCCGTGACTGTCAATACCTACTGTCCGAAACCCTCCACCATCATCTATGCCGGGAGTACGGTTACGGTCTTGGAGGTAGCGACGACGGTGGTGTTTGTCACGCAGAGCAGGGTTACTAGTACTGTTACGGTTACAAGATTGAGCACTACTACTGATACTGCTGTGAGCACTCTCGTCCTGGGTGTGAATGATCGATTGACGCTAGTGGAGCGTGAGACCGCATATGCTACACCCGGATACTACCCCAATCCTCCCACCAAACCCCAACCTCAGCACCAACCTCTACAGCAAGGCATTTCTCCCCCACAAACTACCGCCCAACTACCCCAACCCTCCACTGCTGCATTGGGATGGAAGCCGCGGGCATAGATACGATGATAAGGGTGTAGACTCTTATGAGTAAAGACAGTTTGTGACGGGGAGAGGGGGAGAGGTGGACTCGCTTTTTTTTTTGGAGTATTATTTCTTCTTGTACTCTAGGTATAGTTAAGGATATATGTGAAATTGATCATGAATTGAACGGTTTCGTCCAGTCAGGAAAACCTCCCGCATCTGGTCCTACTTTCCCGATGCCCGTCGCGTACTATATGGGATGTGTGTGGGGGGGGGGGGAGAAGCAACAAACATTTTCCTCCCCACCTCTCACCCCGCGGTACACCCCCCCACCTTCCACAGTTTCCAAGGATTTTATCTAGAGAGTGAGAAACGGTGATTTAGATGGTCATACCTTGGGCCAGACCCTTCCACAGAACGCTACCATATGCCCATTAAATTAGGCTACCACGTTAGCGGAGCGGAAGAGAAAGGAGAAAGAGTACGGTAGTCTACCGTACGAGTAAAAACACCCAGACCTCCACGATCATCCATTGCGCCATCTCGGGTAAAACATGTGGAAGGTCGAACACGCGAGGCGACGATGAACGTCAGATCTCCGAGGAGAGGGAGAAAAAAAAAGCGGGTAACGGGACCTCGACTTGGAAACTACGAGCGCTGTCTCCTTTCGTTCGTACTTTGCAGTATCATAGTGAGTGCGGGATGTGGTCCCCTAACAACCCACCCATTCAGGTGAAATGGTCGCAATGAGTACCGGTACTCTATCTTCCTGGACCAAGTTACTTAAATTTTGGAAATCTCACCACACCTCCTCCTCTCATGGGGTATGGCTGTGCACGCTTTTGGGTCAGTCCGCTGTGAGTTATGATAGCCAGTTGGTCTGTATGATGGTATAATATCAAACGGTATCGTTCAACAGCATTGCTTACTAACTTGATGCCAACAAGGATGGCGAATAGGGATTTTTAAGGTTCACGCAGCGCGGGAATTAAGTCAGCCATGTGCTCGAAACCGAACGAAGGGATATACGAGCACCGTAGTACTGTACTCGTACTCGAGTACAGTACCGTAAACGAGTATGGCACAAGCACTGCCGCCCAGAGTGGGGGTGAGAAATAAGACCATTCAGGAATGCTAAGTCCGCCACCGTGCGTGGCTTCTCTTACGGCACTGTTACTCGTACCGTACCGTACCGGTACGAGTATGATACGAGTACAGTAGAGTCGGACCGCTGCCCGGTCGGTGGGTTTAGTAATAGTCTGCTGGCCGGGGTGGATTGGTGTATGATACTCGTATTGTGCTCGGAGAGTGCGTACGGTGAATGGGTGGGCGGGAGGCGATGGATGGGATGGAAAGCTTTTCTTCGGCCGACCGCGGAGGTACGGCAAGTTACTCGTAGGTAAGCACCCGAACACGAACCCCCGACCTATAATAGTTGTTTTGTTTCCGGTTTCTTGTTGCGTTTGGTGGGGGGGGATGTCGAGGGATGGACTATGTAGGCTATGGCTTGGCTCATCGGACTCGCCCGCATGATGCCTGCCTTGGGCTTGCCAACCACTCGCGGATGGATAGCTATCGAAGGTATGATAGTGTGAAGAAGACTTGAGATGGTGTGAATGTGATTTTTTTTTGGAGAATGACTAGACTAGCGGTAGCAATAGTACTCGTACTGCACTCGTGCGCCTTAGCCAAGATCTGACGCCCCGTGTGTCCCTAGTATGATAGCTCGTGGCCCCAGTTCTTTTATGCCGAAGGGGTGCTCGAGTATTGTCCATTTATTCGTACGAGTAAATCTAGCGCGGAAAAAGCACAGAAGCCTGACTATTGGCGAATAGAGTTGCCACAGATCCACTGAAGCTTATTTGTAGGGACGGTATCCGGAGATGCTCTTTTCCTCTGACGAGTTGGACCTTCACGTTTTCTCCAAACTAATTTAGTACGAGCACTCTACTCGCGCCGCCGGGTCCGAGTCGTGCGCCGAGCCCGCCTCAGCCATCTACCGGCCAACCAGAGAGCGAGGAGATTGAGCATCCTTTTGCTTGATTGGCCTATCATACCCATCGACTTCGTTGTCCCGGTGGGCCACCTTAGCTTGGCCACGCGAGTGGAGCATGCCCTTCCGGCAGGGAAAACAAGTTGTGCCACCCTCTGGGAACAGATGGGGTGCCAAATCTTGGCTGAGGCGCACGAGCACAGGGTGAAAAACGGAGGGGAGGGGTGTAGTCTGTCGAGAGAAAGAAGCTCTGGGCGTAGCACAAGTATGATACTCGTATGATACCAGTGTGGCACATACCTCGGCGGTACAGTACACCACAATACTCCTACCGCAGAGTACTCGTGCAGTACAACCAAGGATAGAGCGCACAACCGGGTACGGCCATTTTTCCGAGCGTGGCATACGAGTACCTACTCGAGCTCCTTAATGCTTACCTTCTTTTCTCTTCTTTCAGTGAAGGCGCGATTCCAACATCTTCCCCCGCTTGCTGGTGTCGTGTTTATTCCCTCCGGTCCATTCAGGTATGATATGATGGACGGATGTTTGCCCAGAAGGGTAGACTATCTAATCACGAACTCTATCTGAGAATGAATCCGAGTGTGTCCCCCACTCCTTCGTAGGGGGGCCATGACCACTCATGAGAGTGCTCGCCCTAAGAAAGGAACTAATGACCGGGCACTGACAGTACCGGCAGTGGTATTCAATGCTATTTCTTGTAAACTTGGCATGCATAGAAATGGTTAATTTACTGCTACCTAACTTTACCTTACCATACTTTTCATTTTTTCTTTCTTTCTTTCTGGTATCATATCATAGATGCGGAGGTCTGGACGTCTGGAGGCCTGTACGAGTACATGGTACAGAGCTCAGTCTACTACCGGTATATCTCTGGAGTGGTGCATGGTGTGAAAAAGAGGGAGAAAAAGATTATATGATAGCACGCTTTGGAAATAATTATCCCGCTCTTACTGTCAAAAATAATAATAATAATACAAGATTCTCATGATCTCCATAAAGTAGGATCCATCACAACCTCTGCATGTACTCATGTGTATGATACTTTATCGCCAGTCAAATTTACCCTGGAGCGTCCAAACATGATACCCGAAACACGTACTCAACTTCCCACATTTAAATTTATGATACTCGTCACTAAAAAAAAATCAAAAAAAAATCATCTTTTCAATTCTGAATGCCAGTATCAACTACTACATCATGTCATTGGAGTTTCACCCCCTCTAGCATCCTAATATCCAGAATTTCTTTCCCCCTCTTCTCCAAAGCAAGTTACGGAATTCCCGCCAATGGCACACAGCACATCACTCGATTACCACAGTTCGTACCCGATCACTGCACTCTACCTGCACTCTACTCGTACACCACTACAAGTAGATTAAATTTACAATTACACTCTAAGCATTGGCAAACCATCTACGACACCATATGGCGAAACAACCGAGCACCCACTCTCAAAGAGCACCGCACCGGCAGTCGTAGAAAGGGAAAAGACACCGCAGGGGTGGGGATTTGCCGCCTTTCTTTCCATTGTTCGATTCGGTTGAATCGGTGGTGGTATCCCCATGCATGTACGTGTAAATTTAACTTAAGTTTACCATCATACCGGTAGTACGGTACTGTACTGTACTCTACTGTACCTCCAGGGATATCAGTTTTTTTTTTCTTCTTTAAAAAAAAAAGAAAAAGAAAAAAAAGTCCGGGGTGATCTGGTCCCAGGCATGTACTATTTATTTATTTGTTTATTTGTTTATTTATTTGTTTATTTATTTATTAGGGTCCGGCAGTTTTACTACTACTGTATCAATACTCAAGTATAGTATTGTCGGAAACTTTCCGGGTGGTGTTGTGACGGTGGTGATGCCAACGTACAGTACCCCAATGATTGGTGACGGCCGTTAGGTGCTGTATCGGGTTTCCCTCCCGGGATACAGGGTACAGTACAGTGGAAGCTCCTTTCTATCGGCTGAACAGCTTCCGTGCTGGGGGTTTTTTTTGAATGGCAGCATAGCATACCTACTCTGCGGTTCCTGTGTTTGTTTGTTTTTGCCTCCGGGTATATGCAAGGAAATTAAGACATTTTTTTATATTTTATATTTTTTTAAGAGAAAGAAAAGAAAAAAAAAACTAGAGACAAACAAACAATTAATCGGCTCCGGGGGTTTGAAGCCAGGGTGGGTAGGTACTTGTAAATCAATCCCGGAAACAATTCAAAGGGCGATAAAAATAAAACAAACTCAGCTCGGGAAAGTACCGTGTCCCTCTGCCCATAGCCTTACATGACCCTATTCTACGACATCAACCGCCACGGGCGAGAACCTATTAAACAACTTGACAACACCTTTCCTAACACTGACTCTCCTAAGCTTTGTAAGCACCTTCTGAACTGTAATCCCCTTCCTCTCCTTCTCACTCTCGGGGGTGGTGGTGACAGCCTCACTTCTAGCATCAACAGAGGGGGCAGCTGCTTCGTTTTCCCCCGCAGCGAGGCCCCGAGATGGAAGCTGTGCAGTCCCACTCAGGATGCTTGTACTAAGTGCTAAATCGACCACTCCCACCTCTTTAAATATCCCGACAAACATGTCCGTAATGTCAAACTCGGGTTTGGTTGTTCTGAAACCGACCGGGATAGGGCCAGATTCCTCGGTGTCGTTGTCGGTGCTGGCGTGGGGGGAGAGTGTGTAAGAGCTCACTCTACAAACTGAGGTATTGGTGGAGTGGAGGTCAAGTGTGGTTGCACTGCTGCTCGGGGTGACAACGGCGTTTTTTGGTATCTCACATTCCCCGTATGTTTCTGGGGTAGAGGATTGAGTCTTTTTATGGGCGGGAAGGAGGTCGAAGCCGGACCCAGGGGCGGTTGTGGTGGATTCGGGATCCGAGATGAGATCTTCGACAGGGATGGGATGGGTATAAGGATGTTTATTCTCAAGCCGATTCTGTTCATTGCCGGATTCAATATCCTTCGGCTCTTGGGCTTCCTTGTCGTTCAAACCTCCGCTGAGAACCCCGATAGTCGATTCGCCCA